AAATACAATAATAGTACATTACATTACTAGGGACGAAAGTCGATCTTTCCTCCCGGCGGAGTAATTGCCCCCGAGGCGAAGCCGAGGGGGGCAATCCACCCGGAAGGATAATATTGGGGTTATGCCTCTACCACGTGACCTCAGTATATATATGACTAATATAGAAGAGAACTAACACAGGTCTCATGAGAGGAATCTTGTTTTTTATTTTTTTTTCGCACTTAAAAAGATATTGAGCTTAAAAAGGTTGTTAATTCCATGTTACTGACATAATGAGAGTTACGTAGTTATTTTTTTCCTTTGGTGAATTTGTTTATGAAGGTTGAAACAGCGTTTTGAACGTATACGGAGTGCCGTTTAACCCTACTTTGAGCTGTTTGTTTATCTCTGAGCATCAGCAGCAGTAGCGCAGCAGCAGCAACAGCTGAAACAAACAGCTCAAAGTAGGGTTAAACGGCACTCCGTATACGTTCAAAACGCTGTTTCAACCTTCATGAACAAATTCACCAAAGGAAAAAAATAACTACGTAACTCTTATTATGTCATTAACATGGAATTAACAACCTTTTTAAGCTCAATATCTTTTTAAGTGCGAAAAAAAATAAAAACAAGATTCCTCCCATGAGACCTGATGTGTTATTTCTCCCCTCTATATTAGTCATATATATACTGAGGTCACGTGGTAAAGGCATAATCCCAATACCAGTATAATTACTGAAAGATTAATGCTACTTACTTATTATCAATCCAGCAAAGTATTATTGTTAGTTATTTCTGCTTTAGGGTAGATAACTGTTGATGCTATTGTAATAATAATAATAATAATAATAAAAACGGTACCGGACGATTATCGTGGCTCTTTATTAATAACAGAAAAGGTAATGAAAAAAATAAAACAGCTTTGGATAAATAACACGTTGTATTGGATTTGCGCGTGGCCAATCCGACCCATCAAATGAAGAATAATACGACTCGATCTCCAACGGGAAATGTAGCTAGTTAGCTACTTTTTTCAATGAGGCTGTTTTAAGGAGGGAGAAGAGGAAAAATGCAAGCGATCGCAAGCTCACATTGAAGGGCACGTGGCAATACTTTGATACGTCAGAACACCTACTTCTCTCACGTAATGAAAGCATCCGAGTTGATTGGAAGGGTGATCAGGCGGGGTTATTGAAATGAAAAACAAAAAATGGCCCAAGACTCGCGGTTGTTATTTCACTGCTGATTTACCTACTTAAAATGCACTGCAGAATGAAAAATTCCAAATAATGTTCTAACTAAAATTTTTTACAACCAGTATACTTTTTGTTGAATTTAATGAAAAGTACTCGCAAAAAAAAGAGCATTCGCATTCCCTAAAATAAAAATGCAAGAGCCAAAAGTGGGTCGGAAATTCATCGAATTTGATGCCGCAATCGCCTATCTGCATCTTGATCCCTCTCAATAACATGTATCGGAATTTCGGCTCCAATATACATATACTTACATACGACCGCGTTAATAATTGTCTCTCTCTCTCGATATAATGTAACTGTGTATAAAATGTAAAATATGTATACCTATCTACAGACTACCGGTATTTGGCATCCGATGTATAAGCAGCATTTTTACATTGAAAAGTGAAGTCTCGGTCACGAAGTATAGCAAAAAATACAATGTTAACAGTATTATGATATCAATAATTAAGAGGAAACTGATATTTTTCTTTATTCCGGTAACGTGTGTTGTAGGCACCTATCAAGGACAATGGTTGCGAGGCATGAGGCATGGTTACGGAGCGCGAACTAGCGCACCCTTCGGTTTGGCTTCGCATTACAAGCCGAAGCAGCAGGTTAGAGCGTCGCTGACGTCCCTGAGGAGCAACGAAGCTACCCCAGGCACGGCACCAACGCCCGAACCTACCGATAGGCGAGATCGACGCGTCGACGATAGCAGAGGAGGTTTCGTGCTCAAAGCGAGGAGCGACGAACAGCCCACCAGGCGAAAAAGCCTGACGGAAAAATCCCTCAAAAAGGGCTTCCTCGCTGTAGGTGTTTCCTTTTCTTTTTTTTGTTTCATTATTTATTGTTATTGTTGTCATCATCAACTTTGTTCATTTATTTATTCCTATATCCAACAACAACAACAACAATAATAATAATAATAATAATAATAATGGTGATGATGATACTCAACGGCACGATTAAAGGGCTTGAAAATCCGAAAGCAAAGAAGCACGGGAGATCTTGAAAAGCGTGGCACGGCAGGCAGTATCCGGAGCAATGCGAGCACCGCGTCGTGGATGTCGACCGAGAGCTCGCAGAGCCAGGCTTCCGCCTCGATGCACACCGACAGCAACGCCTCCTTTGTTATCGAGGTAGGTATAAGAAACGGGCATTTATTGATTCGGAGGAAAAAAAAAAAAAAAATTATTACCACTCCCACAGGACGAGCAGATGGACGCCTCCGTAACCGAAACGTACCTTGGCGAGTGGAAGAACGACAAGCGCACGGGTTTTGGTACATCGGAACGTAGCGACGGCCTGCGCTACGAGGGCGAGTGGTTCAACAATCGCAAGTACGGCTACGGCGTGACGACTTTTCGGGACAACACGAAGGAGGAGGGCAAGTACAAGAACAACGTTTTAATAACCAGCCAAAAGAAGAAACACCTGTTTCTCATACGATCGGCCAAGTTTCGCGAGAGGATAGACGCCGCGGTGGCCCAGGCGCAACGCGCCAGCAAGATAGCCCTACAAAAGGCCGATATTGCCATATCGAGGACAGCTACGGCCCGGGGCAAAGCCGAGCTTGCCGATTACGCCTCGGAGCACGCCCGCGAGGATTCGGAACTCGCTCAGCAAACGGCAAAGCAATTTGCCCCGGATTTTCGGCAACCGGGATTAGAAAGGCGAGTTGATAATAATAATAATAATAATAATACGAATTTACATACATATAATATACGATAGGTATGTACCTATTTCATGAAAAGACCATCTGTACAAAAATCATGTAATAGATAAACTGCCTGCAGGCTGAAGAATCGGAATATTCCAAAGTACGTACCTCCGTCCCAGGACGTCCTGCCAGGCAAGAGTATATTGCACAAGGGAACGAGCCTTGACCAACAACAATCCAACAGTAGAGCCACCCCGACGAGGCATCAGCCGGACGCGAGTATGACGGATCACGGCCAAAGGCCCCAGGACGAACAGCCGGTTGAGCAGGCCCCGATCTCGGCCATACCAAACAGTTTGCTCACCCTAGGCATTTACACCCCGACCACGATACCACTCCCGCAAAACCAGTTTCCCATTACAGCACTCGAGACCCACACAAGTACGACCTACTCGTACAAGCATCAGCGCGAGCAGGTGCACCAAAACCCGTACGGCCAGACGCATACGCCACCCCAATCGCCACAGCCGTCGCCGATGGTGTACGGTGGTACTAGTAATTATGGCCCATCACAGTATCCGGGCTCGCAAAGCGTGGATCAGTATGGCAACTACAGGCCCGGTTACCAAAATCAGTATCAGTCTGGTTACGCGAACCAACAGGTAAGCAGCGGCGAGTATTCTTTCGGACATTACCACGGCCAACGGGGCTTAATGGCATTGTGGCTTGATCGATGCTGCAAATCGTTGAAAGAGCGCGATAACGGTGCGTCATAATGGACACCTATTGTCGATGATTTTTATCAATTTTGTACGATATGTCATTGTTGTTCAAATACCGAGTATAATCATGTATACGCACGCGTGTGTCCGTACGTTTTAGTACCTATATAATAATAATAATAATAATAATAATAATAATAATATACTGCTCGAGAGCACACTCCGCGCGGCCAAACATCGACTGGGAGGCAAGAAACAGGCTCGAGNTTTTTTCGTGCATCAAGAGAGCCATTGGACCTAAGTCTAAAAAGAAAAAGAAAAAAAAATTAATAAATTGGAACAATCAAAACTCACTAGACTGGGCTTGCGTGTGCTTGCATAAAATGTATAATTTTCCACATTTACCCTTTTATTTCTTCATCACCAGTGCTTCTCTTATTGTGGTACACTAGTAGGGACCGCTGGAAATATGATGGATACAATTTCTCTTTCTAGATAGCATTACAACAACCATCAGTGGTTTCATACAGCCCAATGTCTAGCCCAATGTCTTTAAGCCAAATGAGCCTCTACGGAGCCCAGCCCTTCGGTGTAAGACCCGTGTGTTTCAGATGTGTTGATTGACTGATTGATTTGTTTCATATTATTATTATTATTACTGTAAATTAATTGACAGACATTATTATGTTTACATTTTTAAGTGAAAAAAGTTGTTGTCTTGTAATGCACACACGCTGAGTGAAACGCTGTTAAAGGGATAGCGGTTAAAATTGTTATTTTATTACGATAATTCTTTTTATTAATCTACGCCGTGATTGTGCTACGGGAGAAGCTGCGATATTTTTTCAGCTTTTGGCTTTGAAACGATCGACACACTCTGTCCGAAACTCACGTTTTTAAGGATTATTGTCGTTTTTCCATGTATATGATGTTTATGTATACACTTATACATATTTTATGAGACTATAATCACACGCGTATGCCACAAAATTTCAAGACATGAGAGCTTTTTGCTTGAACAATAGCAGCGTAAAATAGTGCCATAACAACTAAACTATCTGGTAATTTTTAATGAGCAAGTGACTTATTGATAGAGATAGAAGGAGAGAGAGCGAGAGAGAGAGAGCGATCAAGAATCCTACTACTTCTACTACTTCTGCTACTATCTGCTACTACTATCTGCTATTATCTGCTACTATTATTGAGCTTTGAGTTTGCAGCGTAGGCTTAAGAGTATATAATAGATACATCGCTGAGGCTTGACTTCCCCTCGCGACTGGAGTTGTCCTGATAGTGCGCCGTGTCTGTTCTAGCCGTCTGTACCTAATCAATATGGGTTCTCACCTATGATGAACCAAATGAATCAGTACGTGGTGCCACCACAGCCGTTCAACCAGAGGCCGGAACAGCCGCAGCAGAACTACCAGACTGAGGAGGCGCAGAGACAACAGAACGCGACGAGTATACGAAGAAACAGCCGAGTGCTAAGTCCTCAAGACAAACCTACCCAGAACATTGGACAGACTCTCAATGACCGGTAAGTGACGGGTGATTTAATCAGTCCCCGTCCCCGTCCTCTCCCCTCCCTTTTCGTCTTTAACATTGCGAATTTGACGTCTGATTCTCCTCTGTGTGTGGGTGTGTTTTTAGACTTGATCACTACAAGAGGCCTCCCAGTCGGGACAGTTCGGTAGACCGTTACAGGCGACATCCACTGGTGAGTGGATCGAGACAGGCTTCGATCGACAAAATGGCTCCGTCGCCGACGCCAGATATTCCAGACAAGTAAGACAATTAAAAATACACTGTACTTCGATGTAGGGGCCCATTTATACATATTTGTTATTTGTGGGATAAAATGATACGTAATGGTTTTTCGATTCATGCAGCAGATCGCTGAGAAGTCCAAGTGCCTTGCGATCGGGCACTCCACTGAACGGGTCGGTGCTGGGTGGTAGCGGGGCCGCGTCGCCGTCGTATGCCGCGTCAGTAACCAGTCAATTCGAAGATGTGCTGCTGAAGAACAAGGGCCTTGGACAAGAAATACTGCCAAGTCCTGGTCAGCCAAAGCGAACCGAGAGCTTGTATGTGACACCTGGAAGAGGAGGAGGCGGTGGTAGCGGAGGTGGCGGCGGTGGCATTAAGGTAAGCACTCTTTTTTCGGTCCTTACTCGTATACTTTTTATACTTTTATCTATATAATAATATTTTTACGCCTAGTGTATAAGATTTTTTATTAAAAGAAAGTAAGAAATACTTTACAGACACTTTAGTTATCAGCTAGTGAAAGATTTTTTTTATCCCTGTAATAATTTTCGAGGTGTACGAATTACTCTTACTTATTCAATTATCTATTTGCAATCAATTTAATTTACGTGTTTATACATACACGTTATTTCTTTAATAAAATACATTTTAACATTTTTTTTCCTCACTACAATCAAGTTGTAGCTTTGTGTCAAGTTTTTTTACTATTAATATTGCTGTTACTTTTATTATTAATACATAATTACTTTAACTTACTGCATGATCGCTTGTATATACATAAATAACAAGATTTTATTATTATTATTATTATTATTATTATTATTGTTGTTGTTGTTGTTATTATCATTATTTTTTTCACAAATAATTCAAAGTCACTAATCAGAGTTGATAATTTTAATTTTATAATTATATTTTTACTTTGGAGTACAAGTAAAAATTACAAGATTGCTTGTTTGTCAGCTAGTTCGCAATCAAAAGATTATTATGCATAATAACGCGCCTTAAAATTTTTAACGGTTTAGTAAAAAAACAGTAAAGTGTATTAATACGTAATAATATAATTTTGTTGTTATCACAAACCATGCAAAAGTCCTTATAATAGTAATTAGAAAACAAAAAAAATACCTTAATGTAGAATAGTTTCCAAAAGAGAGAAAGAAAAGAAAAAAAAAAAAAAAAAAAAACAGTAGAACTTTAATGAAAATCATGTATGTGACTTAATTTTTTTAGTCTTATTGACATAGATTAAGATAAGTTTTGTTGACTTTACTTAAACAACGTTTGCAGTAGCAAATATCATTAACCAATTGTTAACGTACATTTATTTCTCAACAAAAACCTGAAACATCTCATCCTGTCCTAAATGTCTTTGACCATCTTTGCAATTTTTGTCTGGTTGTCTGTAATTGTTTGGCAATTTGTGCTGTGTTCTGTGCATGCCGACACTAAGGACGCGAGCAGGACGGTCCCCGCCTTCGCCGCCACAGCAAAGAGCCGCGCAACCCTCTAAGTATAAGTATCCTTAATTATAATTCCAACTTAAACAAACAACAAATTAATGAAATATCAATTATGAATAATGCATTAAACTACGTATACAGTTATGACGGGCATCTCTATTTTGAGATCAAGAATTTTTATAAAGCCATTAATTTTGGCTATTAATAAGAGCTTCTTATAATTTTTTTTTTTTTTCTTCAAGTCTTACAGTGTTTTATGTGAATTTGAATAGCCCAAGTATCGTTATCATTTTTACATCTCATTTGAGGGAAATGCTGCGTTGTATGTGTGTACAAAAAACAGATAATATAATATATAGGATACAGAGGAATTTATTTTTGGAAACATAATGAATGTACTCTTGTCTAGTTTACAAGACAACGAAAAATAATTGTCACACAAGTAAGTTTATACTGGAGTCTAAAAATTTTACAAAATGAGAAAAAAGCTTATTTATAAGTGCATTATACGTCACACATTAATGGAAAGTATAATATTTGCGTATAAAATTTAGGTGTACCTGCTATTATCCGTCTTAAAAAAAAAAAAAATAGCCACGTTATTCATAAGACAGGAGCTGTTGAATTCGATCATGTGACTGTTTCAAAATGAAGAGATAACATATAATTATGAGAATTTGAAGTACAAGTTTGACGGGATGTTTTTCAACAACTTTGTTCCTAAATTTTTGAAAGAGAGTATACAAATCGAAATAATCTGTAATGAAACGGAGCACAATATTTTTAAGAATTTTTGACTATAAAGAATATATATTTTTAACTCAAATATTTAACAATTAATAAAATAAGTGTAAAAATCAAATTAAACTTTCTTAAAAATGTACATGGAATAACACGATGTTATTGTTGTGCTTCGTATTTATTCAAGGAGCTTATTTTTTATTGCAAGTAAAATTAAATAAGAATATTTCAAGATAAATGATAAAAATATTTTTCTCCAAATAATTAATAAATTAATAATGTAAATTTTTTTAATGGAATTGAAACGTCACACTTTAGATGGGGATAGCATGTATTACATAATTGAAAGGTTCGATATAACGACATAAAGATGTTTTTGTGTCACAGGAAATATTATATGTGTATTTACGTACATAAAAAAAGAACAATAACTGCACAAATTTCTGCAAATTTCTTCCTTCTAGATTAACTCAAGGATTAACTTATGCCCTCTGATCTTGGCTATTTATAAGTATTGCCAGTTGAATTATTTTAATTTCTTTGTTAATAAAAAGTTATGATGCTAATTCTTGATATTCTAAAATACTAAAATCGATCCACTAATATTTTCTTTCAGACCGTACAAAACTTCTATGCCATAAACTTTGTAATAACTTACGTGTAAAAATAAAAAGTTGATTTTTTTAAACCAAATGCTACTTGAATGCATAGGATAAATTGATCAAAGTAATAAACAGAGCACAAATGTATGCATTCTATCCACGACATATTACTAAATGAATAAGAGTTAGAAAACATTACTAAGCAACGAGTGTTGAATTCTTTTCATTATTTTGTATAACAAATGTAGAGAAAAAAATTTTCATCAATTTGAAAACAATGTGCGTGGTGTGGAGGCGGAGGCCGTAACTCTGAAGCGGTGAAAAAAGAGTAACATATTGTACCAACACATCAAAATGTCAAATCCAATTTTTCCTTTTCCTATGGCAAACACATTTTTACTGCTAATACTTAATTTCATTATGTGAAAATTTACTTTTGCATTGAAACTTGAGCCTTTTACGAAATAAAGTGAAAAAACGATGGTTTTTAAATACTATCTTACCTCCACACCGCTTTCTCCTTATTTTTTTAAACATGATTTTTTTGAAGTGCATGCTTTTTTTCATCTTTACCATCTTTATAATTACTAATATGCAATCAATATTTTTGGTAAATAGATATACATGTAGATTATGATGATTAGTGGTTAGATATATTAAAAACAACGTCGGAAAAACTTTTTAAAATTATTCAGTCCAATTGAAAATAGATATTTCTTAAGAACAATCTAGCATAATTTTCCATCACTCAAATTTTCTGCGAATGCTATTTTTAGATACAATCAAGCAATAAATGTATATGTATAATTTTTAAGAAAACAATTATCCTTATTATTGTTGTACGAGCCAGATAAAATAAGAAAGAATTTGTACGTAGGTGTTAGTAGACGGGATGACAAAATGTGGCTATGTAAGTTCAACTTTGCCTTAACTCAGTCGGTGTCCTTATCCTTAAAACTAAGAAAATTTAAGAATGCTATCAAAGTTGTTGCGAAAAAAAAATAAAATTTTATGCCATATTATCTGTGTAATGTAAATGAAACATACAAACAGCTTGTAAATATTATTTTTAACATATAAATAATAAGAAATAATTTTTAAACGTGCAGTAGATTCTAATGCCAAGCTTTTGTTGAGTTTTTTTCTAAATACTTAATACACGGCGTAATAACTTTACTGAGCTACATTGTTACTAATACAAAATATAGTATCAATAATGATTTAATACTTAAAGATAAAAAAAATGTTTATTTATCAAAAGTTAAATTTGAAAAAATAAGTATGGTAACATCAGTGAGGATTACAAAAAAGTTTTACCAATAGCTACAAATATTTAAGGAAAATTTACGTGTAAGACTTTTTGTTTGGATTAAGTATTTTAAACAACTTGAGTAAACTCGTCGGTCAGAATATATAATTAAAATTTATTAACAGATTGAACATTGAACTGAAGGAAATATTAATAACAGAAATCATATGAATTATTTTGAAGAGATGCAATCTAAAAAAAAAATTTCGCCTTTTTGTATATTTATATTGTACTACGAAAGATAATTGACTTATTATTTATTAAAATTTTGGATAATTTTATGAATAATTGTAATATAGCCTGATGTTGAAAATATTAAAATGTATTAAAAATAAATCAAGTATAAAAAAAAATATACGACAGTTTATTTGGTTAATTTTTTTTAACAAGTGGTTATTAAGTAGTTACTGAAAATGTTTTAAGCATGCTTGACTGATATCTTTGGTTTAATTATGTTTCTCTACTCAGTGATTAGAAAAAAAAAAAATAAATAAATAAAATATCCAAGTCAACTGGGAGGAACTTTGAAAAATTGCTAAAAGAATTTTTGTTAAATATTTATCGACACACTTACAAATAAAGTAGTGGCTACTTTTGTGTAGCGCATATGCCACTAAATTTGGTGACAGACATCCAACTAGTCTGTTCTCACTATGTGGTCATTTGATAGTTATTCTTCTCCTTGCGTTAAATAATTCATGTGCCAAATATTTGTACGAGGACGATGATATATAGATACAATACACACAAATAAAATACTAACATAAGATGAGCAGTGGCCGTAGAGTAAGCGTCAGATGTACAATTGGTCAATATTTCTAGGTTCTTAAAATACTTTTAACGAAGCCTCGCTAAGGTCCGGGGATTTTAAGAGAGAAATTGCTAAATGAAATGCCGATGGGCGATTTTCGTGTTTACGCTAGTCATCGAATTTTTACTTGTGCGCTAGTGATACATTGGAATAATCAGAAATATTTTCTAGTTCGACGTGCAGTACATTGAAAAAAAAATCATTGCAGCTACAAGCTTGACGAAGAGAAATTTTTCAATAACATAATTTGATAGTGACAAGTATCGTATTATATTGCACAAACAATGTGATTGAATTCGTAATATTTTCATTTCTTTTCAAAATTCAGCATTTTTTTTAACCCTAAAATTACATTACCATTGATCAAGTAACAATTATTCACATTGATTAGTGATTATCGCATCATTAAAAAATTTATAAGCATAGGTATATCTTACAAGCGATTACCGATTTTTCGGTATTATGTGTAAATTATAAGTTGTAGCTCAAAATGGGCTTGCGATAAAACACTCTATACCTGTAGCAGCGACAGCAGCGTCGATAGCAGTGGCAGCAGCATCAGTGTAAGCAATTTATAAAAATGCGAGAGAAAAAGAGCACGCGAAGGGGAATGAGATTAGTCGAGGAGAGGGAAGGGAGGCACTCTATTTTTGTCAAGCCTATAAGCAAACAAGCGCGGGGACACGCTCAGTCTGCGGTCTAACCTCTGGTTCTTCGGACACCCTTGGCTGCCGTTTTTTCGCTGTTATCGAGATAGCTGGTGGTGGCCCGGTCCCGTGGCTACACATCCGGGCCACCCCCGCCTTCGCGTCTAACGAGTGTTAGTGTCAACATAATTTTCAATAGTAGTAGTAGTAAAAAAAAAAAAAAAAAAGAATTGGGCCGCGAAGATGTTTTCGTGGTCATCCCAGCCGGACGAAGAGGAGGAGGAGGCGCTGCTCTGCAGCCCGGCCCTCATGGCCAGGAGAGCCTCGGAGTCTTGGATCGACACTCCCCCTGTCGAGGTACACATATTTCATCCCTATAACGTACTCTGCTCGTGGTCTTCTGTAGTATAGTTTCACGTCAAGTGCCTGTGCCTTTCCAAAAAAGTGTTTCATAATCGGATCGCGGCCGTCGCAGGTAGGACGGCAAGGGCGCGACAGAGCTGAGAAAAATTATGAGAACGAGGATTTTCGGCTGGCAGAGGGCCAGGATTCGGCCGTTACTAGGCTTCCTAACGCGTGCGGCCAGGAATTTAAAGTATAGCTTATGAATCGACGCATCCAATTATACATTCCGGGGTCACTTGGGGGTGCTGCTGTTGCTGCTGCTACTACCACTGATAATGCTCCAAGCTTTTTCTTTTTCTTTCTTTTTTTTTTTTTCTTTCTTCTTTCTTCTTCGCTCGAAATGTTCAAACGACTTGCGTACTCCATCAATAAACGTAAATCATTCGCAAGACGCGTCATAAATAAATGGTCTATCATTTAGTATAAGAAGATTATTAATAATGAAAGAATTTCTGGCACGAATTTTCAACAATTGATTTATGAAGAGTTTCGAATAAAAAAAAAAAAAAAAAAAATTTACAAGTGAATCTATTTTTGACATCGATGAGAGCACGCAGTATAGCGACGACCGCGACGAGACAATACTTATGTATGACAGAGTCGAGAAAACCGACAACGCGAACGAGCCCGCGACTTACGCTAAGACGTTTCGTTATTTTTCCTTGGGAGTGATATTATTTGTCTTTGAAGCCTCTCAATTTGTTTTGTTGGCATGTCATCAACGTATCGTATAATACAAACATCATACTTTTGTAACGTTGTAACACGATGCCATCGTACAATGTATATTATTACACCACCATTTCATTTTCTTAATAATCAGTGTAAAACGTGTCGCTCGAATTGAAAAAAAAAAAAAATTACCCATGTGGTCACGTGGTGCCAATCAAGTTTGTATAACTAATTTGGACAAAAATTTATTTGCAAAATAATAATGTGAGAAGGGGGACAAAAAAANGAGTAAAAAAAGCGTGCGACAACTAGACAAAAGTAATGAAAGAAAAATAAGCTAGTTAAAAAAAAAAAAAGAGAAAAAAAAGCTACTCCCTGTAACGTGTATTGTTTAGGCGGTGCCAGCGACGGTGGTAAATCTGCAGCGAAAAAAATCGCTGCCCGATGTGGCGCAGCCGATTCAACTGACAGCAACGGCACCGCTCTCTAGGGAGGAGGTTAGCGTCCTAAGCAGCATGAGGCGCGAGGAGATACGCAGGCAGATCGACGAGCACGAGAGGCTTCGGGCTAATCCTCTGCTCTACCTTGTCAGTCCTCAAGTCAAAGTGAGTCCCATTCTACAGGCTGACTCGAGTTCTTTCTGCACACGTATACATAAATATATTCATATACCTACTGATCATTGTTTTACGCTGCCTAAAAGCGAATCCTATAAATTATTATAATTACCATAACAGCATACACATTTCTAATGACAAATCATTATTACGTGCATACTTTTTTTTTTTTTTTAATCTTCTCTAATGTCGCAAAGTGAAAAGTAGCTTATTCCTCAGCTTTTAGGAAATACCACATTTAATGCTTCAAAGCCACTACCATTTATTTTATCGTTAGACATGTTTGCGTTATCGTACGTTTACTTACAACTAAAGTAGATGTCGTAAAATTTTCAATCAGCATTAATCCCCCTCAAAATGCCCTTTAAATTATTACTTTTGTAGGACTGGTTCTCGCGGCAGCAGCTGGTGATACTCGTGCTGGTCATCAACATTACACTGGCGATATTTTTCGTAAGGCTGCTGACGTAGCATCAGCAAGCCGACTACGATCGGCTTGAGAATCGAGTCGTCGAGGTCACTTGAAGCCATTTACGACGGGGACCCGTGGAAACTTGCTAATTTTTTATCGCACTACGTCCTCTCTGCCACGGGCACGAGGCTGCGGGAGCAGACAACAAAAAACAAGAAGATGTTAAAGCGGCCGTCTGATCTTGTGCCGGGCTCGTGGGACTCTAATGGATTATAATTCCGGGAGGGATTACGAACGATTCAAGATGACGAAATCAAATACGACGCGCAACACGGGGTTTTTGCGCGTCCACCGATATTTTTTGGAGGGGAGGCAGCTTAGCCGAGGAGAATTATTGTTACTTGTGTGTTTCTTTGCCTGAAATGCAAAACTGATTTTGTAAACGGGAATCAAGAGCATAGATGGTTCAACACGTGCTTACAGACACATGTTTGGAGTAATTATTTATCTAACGCGTGGGAGCAAACATATTCTATAGCCAATCGAGGGAAAACGCTGCGCGAAAAAAACACGATATTAGTTCGGGAGAGGTCAAGCTGGAAACTTTGCAGTTGCAGAGGAACCTACTCTAAATTAGATTTTTTTTTTTTTTTTTTTTTTTTTAACGTGACTACTATTTTTACCTCGATTTTTACACCGAGTATTTTACTAAATACCTCTCTGAAAAGTACATAAGTACATAATATAAGGTTGTCATATCGCATGAGAATGAAATACTATTGCAATTTTTCATATATATATATATATATATATGTGACATGAGCAAACAAACAGATGAGAAAAATAAAAAAAGACAGAGAATCGGGATAGGAAAAGCTATCTTGGCGAGATTTTAATTGATCGATCACACTTGTGCGCACAAAAAATTACGAAACAAACAAGTAGATTAATAATAACAAAAATTCCGCATAAGCAAAAAATGTATGTAATATTTGTATGGTTATCGAATTGCGATTGTTCGATTTTTGAAGGTGGTAAGGTTGGGCCAAAGTTAAATCTACTTGATGGTTACTATCTTATTCATAATGTATGTATCAAATTAGAAGAATGAAAGTTTCTGTATACGCGCGCAAAAGAAAAAAAAAAAAATCTGACCCACCAATATTGACTAGCACGTGCCCTTTGTACTGTATTAATTACGAAATCATAATTGGTAAAAAAATTAGTTCTAAGATGAGAAAGAACCTGTACAGATAGAGAGAAAATAATTTGGCATGTCGTTATATTGTTTTTGTACTTTACAAGTTGTTAAAACGATGATGAAATGCACGCATATTTTTCTGTTTTGTAAAAACAACACATCGTATGCAACTGAAATTCATTCTTACACTTCATACAATTATATTGCTGATGTGAGATGCAATAAAAATTTTAACCAACACCGTGACAAATGTTTTTATGAGAGTCAAGGTGAGAGCGAGGTTCGAGGACATAAATTTATTTCTGTAGAAAAATTGTCTATTAACAAATTTCCTCGAAGAAGATATAAATTTGTGATTTAGATGAATTTTGCTACGAATATCAAAAAATGATAACTGAAAAGTAAGTTATTAGTTTTTATTTAATTTTTTCTATGTTACCGATACATATTTCAATTGTATAGGAAGAATTTTGTTGTCTTGTAAAATTGCAGCAACGTATGTGTATATTACTGACATTATTAGAGAAAATTTTTTTTAATTTTTAAATTAATAATATTTACGCGGATTATTTATTGAAGAAAAAAATAAATGCAAAGTACTAGGATAACTGAAATGCAAGCGAAGAAAATGATTGTATCACAAGTAAATTCATACCAACATGTCTGAATGCGCGGGTGTATGATAGAACTCATGGGAGCATATATCTCATTCAACTAAATTGGACTCAATTTTAGAAAAGGTGAAAACGTAACTTTGGTACCTTGTGCCTTTTATGCCTTCCAAATTTGCAGGTACCAACTACCACTTTTGTAATATTGTGCGTTAAGCACAATAATCAGTTTTTTAATCCTACAATGAATTTTAAATTTATGAAACATACATATAAATATTAGATCAATTAAACCATTTTTTTTTTCTAAGCGCATTCAAGCCAGGAGAAACACTTTAATGTCGAGAACAAGTAGGTCGATACCATTGTCCTTGAACTTTTGGAAAAACCTCACGTTAACAATTTTGTATTTTTCAAAGGGACAAAGAATTTAATTCTTGGTCGAATAATAAATTTGTACATAAAAATGAAACGAACAGAAATGCCCGAATGAAAGATAGGGAAATAATACGTATATTTCATTAGATCATGAGTTAAGACAAATTGCGTCTTTATCTTACCATCCAAAGCTTTTTACAAGGTACTGTCATTGTTATTGTCAATGTCTGTAAACAGGTAAGCAAGTATTCATACTTCTTTTACATTCAAGTTAAGAAGACACAGTGATTACATTAATTCTCGAGTTAATTCTACAACTCGTACTATCGTTATCATTATTTGTACATATTTTGACTGTATGCGCTCATGTATTATTATTCTCTATTTAATGATTAATTTTTTTTTTTCCAATTATACAAAAAAATTAGTAAAAAAGGAAAGTCGCTTTATATCACTGTAGAAACATCATTTATTTATATTACAGATACGAGGACACATTAGTCTTTGTAAATATTACGAGAAAAAAAATTTCGACTAGGTTCAGTGGTAAATATCATTCTGCATAACAGATTGAAAAATGCATTGTTGACCAAAAAAGTTAATGTTTACGAAGGCTACGTATTTTTAAAATAAAAACATGCCAATGGAGCGTTTTCGTTTCATCAGATTATATAATTTAAGTACAACGCTCAAAAGGTTTTAAAAAATTGTTGATTATTTTGTATTATTGCGTCGAAGAAGAATTACGTCGACATTTCCTAAAGACGTGAATTACCGTAAATTACATTGCAGAAAAAATGGCGAAATGTTCAAACAATTGACTGCTATTTCTTTTTTTCATTTACTTTTATTATTGCAACGCTTTGAAATTCCATTTTCTAAATGCCAAATGCATTTTTTACTACTAACATTCACTTTTTAAAACACGCATGACAAGTCCTCTGTAAGTTGTAATTTCAGGATATCAATTTGTACGATTATTATTTGTATATTAGCATTGCCATCACAACTTATCGTATTAAAAAGATATCACTGTTTATCAACGATACTATTACCATCAATTTTAAAAGCAATTTCGTAATTTACTATACGTTACTCTGTAATTCTATAATATATTAATTGTTGAATTTTTTTCGTTTATATTATATCCTATTGTTTAATTTTTGAATAAAATATAAAACGTTTATAAATTTATATTAAGAGTTGCTGCTACACCATTGATATATTTATTATAAAAAATTATTATCACGTTATTTATGATCTTGTTGTAATTAAAATAAAGGTTCATCAAAAAAAAACTTGTTTAGCTACATAAACCTAACAATTTTTTTTTTTTTTTCCAGTTTAACAAAAAGTTTATTTAAAATAAAAAATCTAAGTTCTAGGGCATATATAGTCTGTAAATTATAAGAGGCAAATTTAACAGTTTAGATTCCAATTCAATGAAGGTATCTTACTTTATACATATGGTTCTGATCCTTTTTAAGAGTTTAGAACTTAAAACAAAAAAAAAAACGATGTAACTATTTTTCTCATTTCTCGGAAATAAACTCTACATTTACCATTTAATTTTCCAATTTTTTCTCAATTATTTCCAAAATACTCGAGTGTTAATTATTGTCTACCAGAATGCATAATTGATACGTAATTAAATAATTATTGCCTCTGATATTTTATTGAAAATGCGTATCGAAATTATTTTCGTACCAGAGTACCTCTTAATGTGATCATAAATAAAGAGAGACAGGGTGAACATTACCTACAGAAGTATATTTGCGTCTTGTATCGAGTCTTTGAGTTTGGTAATTTTCTCAACACTTGGCTCGGTCTAGCCAATCAGCCAACCTTGATCGTATTTTATAGTATTACGTATTATATGATGGTGTAAATGTACAGAGTAAATTACTTTAATTGCAAATTGGTTATTGAGAGTCGTCGTCCAAGGAAACTGAGAAAAGAGTTGACAATAATTTGATTTTACACACAAAAAGTATTTAACGTACTCGTGTACGTCACATTGTGACAAGTCGTTAAAATATGGTACTAACAAAATATAGTAGTCACGTAATTGGTTACCATGCATAAAGACCATCCATTATTTTTCGCTGCTGTTAAGTTTGCTTATTAAGAACGAGAGGCCAGTATGTACTCAATATTATGAATAATAGTAAAAATAAGTTTTTCTAAGACATGAATTACTTTTATCTTGTACATTTTTCCTCAATCATTGAAAAGCCTTTGATCGAAGATGGGTCAAGTGTTTTATGTATATTAATATCGTAGGATATTAATAGAGCTTTATTTTTCCCGAGAAACTGCATGTATTCATGTACGACTAGATACGATACCAAGCTTACTACGAGTACCAACAATGCGTAAAGTATAACATTTAAATGTACAGAGCTGTTTTGTTGTATTCTCGTCATGATTTTTTATAAATATTAACATTTATAAAGGACTCGTCAAATAATTTTAATCACGTATTTTTTTGGGTCATTTTATGGTAAGTATATCACGAGGTATATTAAATTTAAAAGTCAAGAAATTAGAGCATAATAAAAAATTATAATAATCATTTCCTAAGCCGTGGCACACAAAGCAATGCTGTTTGTATTAGTGTTGCAATGACGAGGTGTGAGCTGGATTTGCATGTACGGCATTTTCCAGACGCTTAGATTAGCTCCCCGCGTTTTGCAGTAGGTCAAGTAAGGGTACATGTTACGCTGTGTTTTTTCTCTCTATTGTTGCGGAACATGAGGGAACGTACAAGTGCGGAATAGCTAATTTTTACTCGAATTTTTATACGCAAGCTCGCACGGCTTTCATTCATCCGGTTTCATCATACATCATATTCAATGGAGATAAGCGAGGTGTAACTTTTTTCTGCTAAAAACTAAAACTGTCGTGCATGAATAAATCAATTTGATGAAAACATTAATTTTACTAGTAACAACAAACAACTCACGCAAATGACAGTTGATTGTTTATTTTATAGAACGGAAATGTTTTTTTTTTTTTTTTTTTTTTTTTCAACAATTAGTAGCACAACAACAATCGTATCCTTAAAATTGAGTAATTCAAGGTTATTTCGCTAGTTGGTTGACACTAGTCACGAATGTCAATAAAAAAGTATGATTATGCGTAATAATCTTTCATAACGTTGCTTATCGTAAAAGTGGTGAGAATGCAGTATCGATTTATCGAAATGAACGAGCATCGACCGATAACGACAGTCCGATTTTTTTTATAAAATATACTATCTATTGAACGCAGTGTCAAAGAACCTTTTTCGGTATATCATAACAAATACGAGATACCTACAATGTACATGTGTATGATGAACTTTGTCGTGCGACTAAAATAGTAGGCAGATAATATAGTTTTTTTTTAATACCGGTAAGTGCGAGGAGCTGCCTTTTTTTACAAAGCACGTACTTTATCACTTCATCCATAGCATCTTTAAAAAAAAGTTGCGATGCAGAGTGTAAGACTGCAAATGAAACAGCGATTAACGCTTACCGAATTGTTGAGAGATAAAAAAAAAAAAAGTAAGCAAGTAATACTATTATGAAAAGTTTTGGGCGCAACTCGTGCTCACAGTTGTCACGTAAAGAACTATTTTATGGTTGTGTTAATAACTACGATCAAAAATATTTTTTTTAACGTGTACCATACATACAACATATACGATAACTGTTTTGCACCCTAAATATTATACTAAAAAAAAAAAACTTTTCTTTTGTTTCAAACAATTACTCGGATTTTTCACGTACCCATGAGACTTGGATTGGTAAAAAAAAAAAAAAAAAAAAAAAAAAAAAAAAAAAAAAAAAAGCACCAAGTGGAACAATCGAGATGCTGATTATTAAACTTATAAAAGCACGAATAATAAAATCACTCGTTTCACACAAATGATAAAGATATTACGTATAAATAACGACATGCCTTTTGAATTACACTGAATTGGGTTACGAGATCTAGACATATTTATTGCTCGGCTATTACTTTATTTACCCATGACTAAAATTGCGGTGAAAAAATACTGATACACGTATTTATTCGCAGCAAACGACAACTCTGCTGCATTGAAGTTTGAATTGCATGTTTCTTTGCTCTCTTCGTCTAATTTTCCTTTTTTCATTTTCTTTTTTTCACCTTTTCACTCGATTTTAAGGTAAACAGGGTAGAATGCGGTGCGCAGCTCACACAGCACACATGTATGTATACGCACGATGCACTGTCACTAAATAGATAGAAAAGAAAGAAAAAGAACTAGACGACTTGAAAGTTGATGCTGTATACTTATCTATAAGCATTGGATTATTTTAAAAATTTGGTTTTTTATGCACTATTTGAAGTATACTCGTTTACCTTACGATGAATGGTGGCATTGTGATTTCACAAATTTTCACCTTCTAGTAAAATGTAAACGTCATGACTTCTCATGCTGCTGTTACCTGTCGTTATGAATGAGACTACATTTTCTCAGAAGAACAGGGCATCATTTAGGACAAATGAAAACGTATCGGTATTCGTCTTGTTAGGTGTGCCTATAGCGACACATAGTGGCCAAGATAACCAAGTGATTGGAATGAAATCATCATTACAAACCACTTTAAAATAACAAAAAGACAAAATAAATGGCTTTGACAGGAGAGAAAAAAGTGTTTCTAAGTGCTTGAATCTACAATAACAATGTAGAGTTAGTTTTTTCGGTTGTTTCATGATCATATTTACAGAAAACAACGAATAAACCTGCACTCGTTAGATTATGTTTTCGTAAACATTCGGAGCTGCAACTCTTCAAGACTGTCAGTGACTGTCAGTAATCGTTTCTGACGCTACTGTTTACAAACAAAGGTGTCTGTTTCGTACAAAATGGTAATAATTTAGATTTGATATACTTACCTAGATTTTTCAGTAATATAATTATCGTATTTATGGTTTTTAGGTGTTCATACAGATTCGTCATAAATTAACAAGCCTAAAACAACATCATCAATTTCAAGAATTTACAAAAACGAAGACACTTTATCAAATAACCAGGTTAAAAACAATGGATGCGTTCGAATTTTGTTCGTTTCGTAATCGATACAGTTTCAGCTTAATATGGAACAAAGCAGCAGCATAGTAATTTAAGATAGCCTAACGTTTGCGTAAACAAACTGCAGCACTTCACTTTAATCCACTGAAAAAGTTTATTTTTAACGTTTTTACATTTGTCCTACGATTAATATTTAATCAATCATATTTATTCAATTGATTATTAAATACAGTACACAATACAGATAAAATTTGAAAAATTCTTTATGGACTTTAATATACTGAAAAGCATCTGTTTATCAATTTTATTCTGAGATGAAATTAATTATATAATAGCTGTAGGATCACGGGAAATAATAAATCGCTTTGTCGCATTTACACGGACACATGGGCTGGTCTGGAAGTTCTAGACTCCGTGTACGATCCAAGTAACGTCCGTTATATAGGATTCAAACTAGCTCAACGTACGAGCTAGTACCTATATGAGAAAGTAAATAAACTTGTGATATTATTTTTGAAGACGAAACGTTACGAAACGTTACACATTTTTTCATGAAACCGACATAAAAATGTTTTCAATAGATTAAATAAAGAACTCTTTACACAGAAACCTACCTTACTAAATAACGTTACTGTTCGGGTACCAGTCATGTCGTTTGTATATGTGTATAAAAAAAAAAAAAAAATTGAAAACAGGGTTTGTCGTGTAACAATTGAAAAAGAAATGCCCAAGTTTTAAGTAAAATTTTTAATGATATGTCGGCATGATTATGTATACCGTGTTACTTGTTTTGCTTACTCGAAAAATTTTAGTCGATTGAGGTTTTGACTTTGTTTATTGAGGAAAATCACACACAGTACCTACTTGACTTACTCATTTTTAACAACTAGAATTACTTTTTTAACTTTTTTACTTAATTTTTCAACAGGTTACTTTGTTCAAAGTTGATTTGATGACCCCCCCCCCTCCCCCGGATGACTTTATTAGTACAAGAAGGAAACAATCCCATTAGGTATTTACGTACATACGTGTGATTATATCAAATAGGTAACATTGAAAACACGTGATAAGTTACCAGCTCGCAGATATAACTATGCATTAAAATTCGTAGGATTAAAAATTGAAGTTATAGAAATCATTGCGAGAAAGATGAAAAAGTAACAATACGTAAGTACACACCTTCAACCTCTCTCGTGTATGTTGTTGAATTGGGAACAAAATCAAAATTGACTAATTTGCCGCCATATAAAAAATGGAAATTCGGTGTGGAATTGTTCTGTAGACTCACAATTATTTTTCATTGTTTTAACATTTGTACGTACACTGCTCACTTGTTCACCACCTATAATACTCATGATGACACACCACACACACGGAATTAAAGTGCGAAAAGTGCAAATTATACTCATTGAGTTCCAAAATGACGAACTTGGTTAAATCTAATTGGCATCAGCGGTTTCCCGAGCAAGCACGCTTTTTCGTGTTTCTAGCGTAAACCGTTTGTTTTCCGAGAAGAGTGTGACTACAGTGCGAGAAAGACGGAGCACAAAAGCACACTATGTTTTTCATGAACCGTGCGCGTGCGCCTTCTGTGCGCGTACTGCGTGCGGGTCCGTCCGGAGAGAGCGGAATAGAACAAGTACACCAGTAAACAGCTGGCTAGCAGTGGAGACGGTCGAAAGAGTGCGCTACCTGTTGGCTGCGCATGCCTCATAGATTATATTATTAAGTATACGCAATACGCATCAACAAAACACACAAGACAACGAGTGACTACAAGGTAATATATAATTAAATATGCAACAAAGCTATCTGGACGACAGGCAAGTGTACCTATCCCCTGCTAGTGTGAAAAGTATGTGTGGTGTGGACCTTCCCAAGAGCTCTGTCCCCCGGAGCAACGCCGTCGTCGGGGCATATTTTCCTTTGTTCTCTCGCGAGTGCTAGCTTGCGCGCATATAGCTTCGTTTTGTTTTCTTCCGTCATCGAATGAGGTTCCCTTACGAGTTGTATCATCCTGGTGAATCCTGTTTCACGGGCCATAGGTTCGAATCGTCGAAATCATCGTCACCGAAGCGTCTTTGTTTTGCTGAGCAGCTGATCGGCTCGTCCGACGACGGCGAGTGGATACATACACACATACGTATAGGTATACCTATATACAGATATGCGCGCACCAACATGCTTCGCGATATACTTAGTTAAAGAAAGACAAGTCCACCTCGCTCGCTCGCGCTCCTTTGCTTGCTCCTCATCTTTCGTGGTGCGTATCGATTGTGCCCCGCTTCAGAGTGTGCACATACATATAGTAATTATTCAATTCAGTGCCACAGTGCGAGCCGTTCTGTAGCTATGTGAATGCACGTTGCATATTTCTATGGCTCCAGATGCTAGTCTGCACCTACTTTGGTAGAACAATTGTCGACTACTTATGGACGGGTGTAAAAAATCCTTTGTTTGACGGCGAAGTTTCCATTTTATCCGAATGTATGTGTGAGTGCTCGTTTCACATAAATGCAGTACGTCCGCGCGTTGTTGTTTACATCCGAACTTCCATGGCCTTTGGCGTCCGTCCGCTGTGGAAAGTCGGATAAATTTACCCTGCACTATTCCTTTCTCTCTATTCTTTATTTATATTTCTTCTGGTTTATAATTATGTACAAATTTGCTTATTGTCTTCTCGAATTTTATCCCCTTTTCTTTAGTTTATTTTTTTTTCTAAAATTACATTTTTTTGGCTATTGAAAAATTTCTCGACGTTTCGTGTGTGTGTGTGTGTGTATTTAAAAGACATTCTATGAGGAGCCATTCAAAATAATAATCCATTTTTTTCAGGTTGAACAACAAAAAGAAAGGAAGAAGAAGATTTGATTTTTTTTTATCCAACTCAATTTGAGGCTACTGTAAATATTGTACAGAAAGAAGATGTGAACAAGAAGATATATCTTTTTCTACTGGTTAAGGATATGTAAAGGAAAAAAAAAAAAAAAAACTAATTACAAAACTGCAACTAGTCAAAGGAAAGTTTCATACTGAATTTCAACACACATTTACAAGGTTCCTACAAGAGTCTCCTAAGTTTAAGAAGTTTGAAAAGCCACTTTGATCTCTTATCAAACTGTCTCTATCACGAGTTACAATACTTTGTCCGGAATTTTGATAACAACCCATCGATGCTTTAATCCTCATCACCCAGTCATCGTATTGACCAAAAGCGCTGATTGTTGGAGTCACTAACAAATTTTTTAGTAATCTAGTAAAAAGTCGGAAGCTCAGTGTAGCGCATGTACATATGAGAGCTACAGATCCGAGGGCTGTCGTAACTCGCGAGTTACAAGAGCGTGGAGATCAGTCTTTGATAAGTTGACCGAGAAGGTTCGAATGATTATTGCAAGGCGAAAGGAAGGTGTTTGCCTTGACTTGTCAAGCCATTTTCGCTAACACCTGAAAAAAAGACCAGCATCATGATGCTCTACATATTTCATGTCGATCTCGGCTGCACCATCACCGTCGACATTAACATGACCACCAAAACGTGAGTACATTTTCATTTATATTTTTAATTCCCATTGTCGCACAAGTACGAACATTTGGACGACGCTAGAAATTAAGAACACGAGATGGTAATCAAATTCGAATACATTTAGTAAATTAGTTCAGTTTTGCTGTGAAAGCAATTGCCAACCCTCAATCTTGGTCTTTCAATGTTGAGTGTATCCAGACCCAATTAAATCTCGTTTAACTGGTAAGCATAATAATACAGAGACAAGGCTAGAAATTAAGCTCAATTCACTGCTTGACACGTAAAATTATGCCAAACTTAAAGGGAAAAAAAATCATCCTTAATATACCCGGCAATATTTAATAATCAAGTTTCCTTGTATCTGAGAGAAATCCTCCAACCTAAAAAGTTACAATAACAAATTGACCATTCCATGGGCAACAATACAACAATGTGACAGTTCCACTCAACTTTTTGAGCGTTATCTTTCTTTCATTGGTATATTGCAGAACCGCGAAATATGTTGGGGACTTGTGTGACGACAAAAAAAAAAAAAAAAGAAAGAAAGAACATTCGCGTGTAGTGATTATTTTCATCAAAGTACGTAGGTAGGTACATACGTGCAAAAGCAAGTTCAGTAAAACATATTTGTACGTATGTCTGTCTTCTCCCCCTTCATCTTTCATTTCGAAAAACGTCTCTTTTTGTCACAATACGGTTACAGCACCCGGCTCTTCTTATCATCAGTCGCGTCGACAACTAACAAGTTTAATTCCGTTTTTATGAATTGAAGTAAAAGTAATTTTAAAAATATATTTTACAGGCTCATGAACGAGAAACCAGTCGATCACTATTATGGTTTTGAATTTAAAAATACTCGTGCACGTGTACTATTTTATTCTATATCAGTTGTAAAGTGATCATTTTATGTTATTTGCCATGATTTTCACAGCAAGATCTTTTTTTAAACACGTTAGTTTCAATAATAACACAGTTGTATTATCGTGTATACGCATAATTTGTTGACATTTGGTACATGAAATCGATTTTTGCACAATTTGTGACAATTTGGTTGAAGCGCTGAGAGTCGCAAAAAAAAAATCCGTCGGAAAGCCTGAAATCATTAAAAATTGAGTTTTTTTTTTTGTTTTTTTTGTTTTTTTTTTTTTCACCACAGTAGTTATTTGCGTAACAAGTGCGGAAAAGACGATTTCCCGCACGAGTAGTGATTGACTCACACGAGTGCCGGAGTTGACGGGAACGAGTACCAGTTGAGCACACGAGTGTGATCGGAAGGTACGAGTTACCGTCACCGGCCACGAGTGCGGGAAATCGTCCCGCACGAGTTGCGTACAAGTTTTTTCGCAATGTGTGAGGAAAATAGGTACAAAATAAATATGAATTTTGATTTCCAGTGTGAAACAAAATTTTTTCCGGTGTCTGGCAAAACCTTTTCCACACACCTTTTCCGCACACTGTGCGACAAAAACCTTTGCCGCACACTATGTGGGAAAATCGATTTTCCACACTAATACCAGTGCGGAAAACACCCATTTTCGCACACTATTGCGAAAATAGTAGTTTTCCTACGAGTTTGAAAAGTCTCTATTTTCGAACCGAGAGGTTTGCGGCCCGAGCCGAAGGCGAGGGACGTAACGAGGTTCGTAAAGGAGACTTTTCGAACAAGTTCCGGAAAACTGCTTTTTCGCCCGAGGAACTACCAGCCTCCCAAAACCACCCGAGTGCGGAAAAAAATATTATCTCCTCTCCATTTGCATTAAAAGTTTGAAAGTACACTTCAAAATAAATTGTTTATTTTTGATACGATTTTGTGGCAGTACTTACAACTCTTTACTGAATTAATAAAGGTTTCTGAGTTGCATCTACATTATTATTTATCCTGGTTCGCAGTGTGTGTGTGCATATACTCATATATTAAGTAAATCATGTGTTAAAGATCACAATACTTGAATCGATGCATCAGGAATCAGTTGGCTAACTTAGCTTATGGACATAAGGGAAAAATGTAAGCACTCGAAAAAAATGCATTCGCCACAAATTTGAACCGAATAAGTATACACTTCTGTACCTTTACAGCGATGATAAATAATTCGAGTTTGACGGGTCTCATCTCATTCACGGGTTAGCATAACGTAGGTATATGAACGAACGTACTAAGTATGTGTTGTAGGTGAGCATAATTTCATAAGCATCGTCATAAGTACTCAATTTCGCATCTCATGCAATTAGTTAATTTTATACGTTTCGCGTACAAGCAGATGTTTTTCGTGCAGGAGGTCGCTGCACTCGATTCCTTGCATGTTTAAGAACATAACACGCGCAACGTTGCTAGTTGTCTAGCTATGTAGCTATGTATATAATATACATAGGTGTAGGTTGGACTTTTCTTTTTCTCCCGACTTCTCCTCTGTATTCCCCACTCTCCCTCCTTTCTCTTTCTGTATACCTAATACTTATACTTGTACGTTTATTTTGCACGAGTTGGGAAACAAAGATGTGAGCACTTGAGTACTTATTTTTCGTGCTCAAGTAATTGTAATAGAGTTCATCTCGGGTACTTTTTACAACGTTATACTTACTTGTACGAAATTACTCGATTACCAAAGTTTTAAATTCTCTAAGCATTTTTGTGAGGAAAACGTTGTCACTCAATAAGTATTATATTCGTAATGTTTAAATATAATTATAGATAACATACATACATATACATCTATCTAAAGTCACGCTCTGTCATGCACGTGAGAAAATTCGTTGTTTCTTTTTGTCCCTTGGATATTTAAATAATAAAGTATTTCCGCCTCGGCGTAAAAGGGGGCTCGCTCGCTTATTCTTTTGTGACGTTGGGTTTTGTTTTCTCTTTCTTTCGCTCTTTTAATCAATGCAAAGGCAATTCTCACACACCCACACACCGTCTAGTCGCTGAGAGGTGCTTGCCTCTGACTCGGATGATGATATGACGACGTTTCATTAAATGGCAAAACAAAAACAATGTAAACACTTGATTGTTGGATAACCTGCGAATGTACGAGAACCTACAGGTTTTAAAGGAACATCAATCAAAGTGGCTCGAAAATCTTTGTAAATCTATTATTCCTTTATCGCAAAAACAAAATACTGTTTCGGTTCAAAAAAAAAAAATGTGTTTTTCATGACTAAACGGACTGATATCAACTACTTTTTTTCCCTGCAAGAATATCATTATTGTCTCCTTACGTATAACACTGCAATACTCGACCATTGCTCGGAGTGTCATAACGTGAATTTAATTAATTAAACGAAAAGTACCTCCAAAAAATCGGCACGAATCATCAATTTCATGTCGCCCTTGGCTTTTGAACGACGCGACAGCGACACTTTTTCAGAAGCGTTTGACTTGGACGGGGGAAAAAAGAAACCGTCTAATGCACCTGATTTCTCATGTACATGCACCTAAAACATGCATGTCACGAGTGATGGAATTGCTGTAAAATAAAAACTGGGCCAACGATCACTAGACTTTTTTTTTTTTTTTTTTTTTTTCGTTTTTTTTCTCATTCAAATCCTCTAGAATATACATATATTTATAGTGTATTACACGTAGACAATGCAATTTTTTGTTTTAATTTTGTAAATTGATTTTTTCAGGGTGTCCGAGCTTAAGGAGAGGATAGAGATAGAAACGAATGTACCTCCGAAAAACCAGATACTGCTGATGAGCGGAGGCGAGACCCTGCATAACGAGGCCACCGTGGGTTCGTACTCCACTGGCACCACGGACTCGAATCCGATCTTCCTCTTCAACGCGGCCCTAATCGATAGCTCGACCCCACCAATGCCCGTCATAAATTACATGCCTGGTGAGTATAAGTACCGATGTCATGTACACGTTTATTCATCCATATTATTTGGCATGAATATTTTCCTTCTCGATGGATAACCGTGCACGCGTTACCAACTAATTATACTGTTGTGGCATATACAAATTCATTCACAGATAAATATATTGGGGGGAGGAGGATTGTTACTACATACCTATAGGTACATGTGTGTGAGCGCGCGCTCTCGTGTGTGTGTGTGTGTGTGACATGATGATGCACAACAAAGTCGTGGTCTTCCTTTTGGCCGCGCGCTCCGGATCTTCTGCCAACAAATACATTTCTATATTTATCCGCAATCAGTTTCTCTTGTGACAATTTAAAGTTAAAGGAGGAACAGGCACGTATGACGCTCAGACTTTTTGGTTGGGGAGGTACACACTTAACTGCTTCCATAATAAATGTCTATATACATATTATTAACATGATATTATGCTTTTAATGGTCCGCTAAAACGTCTTATACCGATCAATTGCTTAAGAGTGTTTCAGCAGTGAAATTTCTACGAGATTATATTACGATTTCATTAGCTTCATTGAACTGAACAGTTCTTCATACTTATCTACTTAGCTTTTCTGCACCCAAGAACAGAGTGATGAAAAATGTTTAACTCTTTGCAGAGTAAATAAAGTCTCTTATGTACTTATTGAGTAAGTATAAACAATAACGTACAACCCGCGCGCGACAGCGTGAACCGGGCTGTACTCCCTGCAGTTGAGCTTGGCAGACAGTGCGACGCCTAAACAGCTGCCGTTGCGCAGAAAAACGGCTCCGATCCACTAGCTGTAGCATTACACGCACCATTTTCTCTCTCTCTCTCTCTCTCTCTCTCTCTCTCTCTCTCTCTGTCTCTCTCATGTGTGAGTCGCCGTCACGATTGTCACGAGGCTTATCGTTATCGAACTCGTGATTGTGCAATTTTCCTAGGTACAGCACTCTCTGCCGCGACGATGATCTCTATCGATGATGATGATTGTCGTGCTCTTATAAGCTATATATATATATATATATATATATATATATATAGGAATAAAGAAGATAATGTGGTTCCATTTTTCTGATCAAAGCACGCATCAGCTGTGCACGTGTGCTCGTACCGAGCTAAACAACCGAGATGTATAGGCGAGCTTGGCGGGGAACTTGCATCATCATCATCATCATCATCATCATCATTAGAATACGATACAACCACGCACGTGTCGATTTTAATATCTTTCTCAATAGTATAACAATTAATGTGTATAATTATTAATGCTGACAATAATAATGTCGTACGGATTGTACCGTATGTTTATTCTTTTTTAATAACGAGCAATCAAATTTTTCAATCCCTAACCATAAGTATAGTGTCCCCCGGTGCGTGCGTGCAGGTTTTTTTTTGTTACAGACAGATCTTTGATTTTTATGATAATTTTCAAGCATAATTAAAGTACTCGATAATTCATGCAATACGCAAATGAATGATAGTACAGCCAAAGTGTGTGATCCTTATGCGGAAGTGAACGCGTATACATATAAGAATCGATAGATCGGTGGCATGGGTTTTAATTAAAGATTGCATCATCATTATTATATCAGTTTGTTTGTTTGCCCGCGCCATTTAGCACGTAAGTTATAATAATTTATCCACGCATCAGAAGTAAGTATAGGTACGGATATACTTGCTCGCAATGATTCTTGAGCTTTGACTCCGTCTCGTAAAAAAAGATCGCCTCTCATACTTATCTCTCAGTGCACTTGGGTGCGTGTGCATCTCCGACTCCGTTGCGCTCGAGAGCAGTTTTTACATTATTGATACGTGTGTGAAATTAATTCACGCCCGCTACATATTTATATGTTGTACCTACTCGTTACCGAGCTTTTTTACGTTCCATCGATTAGTAATATTTTGTCCCGTACAAGTAAAGTAATGAATTAATTGAACAAAACACCGCGAGTAGAGCTCGGAGGTCGACTCTAATTAGCATTTGTTTCTGCGTACGTATACATTTAATTTAATTATTCATTTTATATGGACATTAATATATTATGTTCACTCTGAATCGCAATCTCAAAACTGTGTTGTTGTTGTTGTTGTTGTTGTTGTTGTTGTTGTTGTTATTATTATTGTATACGCTGCCGTTAAAAATCTATCTTTTTTTTCTCAATAGGTATATATTAGGCACGTGGTATGGTTGAGTTTTTAAAATTCTTCACTGGAAAACAAAAACCATCCTCGCAATAATATACAGTAGCGCGTGTTCGATATAATATGTATACCCAGAAAGTGTTTGGAATCATTCGTATGTTAATTAATTGTCGTCCGTACACATGCACGCTCGTACATAATATAGAATCGTAACAGGAAGTTAAATTCGAAAAAAGAAAACATCAACACTATCGTGCGTCACACGCAACTCATTACAAACCTATATAACATCGAAGGCCCCCTGCATGCAGGTGACTAAACAACCCAAATCCATCGAATTAATTCAATTCATTGAAAACAAATCGTCAAACAGGTTTTTTACCTGCTCGAGTACACGTGTATAATATTATTCGTAGGTTATTATATAGGTATACTTATAAATGATGCACAAAAGGTTTTTTTTTTCGTTAGGTACGTAGACATGTATTATTGTTATAAAGGTACAAACAAATGCGATGTGCATGAGAAAGAAAAGGAGGATCCGATCGGATAACTATTTACGCCGTGTACGGAATATAACATTTACTTACAGTTAAGTTAAACGGAGTCGGAAGGAATATTATCGATTAGCATAAGACTACCCATCAAGTAGTCTAGTACCGGGCAGTTACCGCATCCAGTGTTTTAGCAAAAGGGAAAAGGCCGTCAGTAAGTATATAACATATTGGAGGAGCTGAGTACAATTTTAAATGAAAGATCTGTTAGTGCCGCGTAAGAACATAATTATGATACACCTTATACTTTTACGCTGCTTGCGCGGGGGGGGGGGGGGGGGGGCTTTTTATGTTACTTTTTGGAATTGCAAGTTAAGTCGCAAACTGTCTCTCTGTCCCTTTTTATACATAAATTATCGTAATATAAATGTGTAAATTAACGATCGAGATACTTTAATTTCACGCGTTTTAGTTGTTTTATGATCCTCTTGGCTGATACCTACCGGTACCGCTTACAGTATACAATTTTTATTGCCTTATCTGTTATAGTGCGCACCTACTCTTTAACGCGAGAAATCATTAAGCCTGCCTTTATAAATATAGGCTGCTCCCAATTTTTCAATGATTAGAAACCTGCTCAGGCCACACAAAGCTTATATTTTTCTCAAATAGCTGTAGTTCGATTTAATTTATTTCACACTAAGTACGTTCATGTTCTACCCAGCGTAAGTCTTTTTTCCTTTTTCATAAAAAAAAAAATATTTTATACTCGCTACATACTTAGTGTCGCACAAAAACGTAAAAACTCCGCTTAAAAAAAATAAGCACCTATACTTATACTGATTTTGTTTTTTCTTCTTTGCTTCGGTGCAAAACAAAAACATATACCTACTACTTGTACTACTTGAGATGCACAGTGCACACGTGATAGTAGCTTGTTGACGCTCGTAATTGTTATTGTTCGCGAAATTGCGCGCTTGATTGGAAAATGCTCAACACCCAGTTTTTCTTTTCACATACTTATTTTTACTTGCAGTAGGTACCTACTACGAATACGCATTCACTCTAATTACGTATCATGTACTATTTCTCTCTCTCTCTCTCTCTCCCAAGTATACGTGTACATATTATAACATGGGAGAGGCATCACTTTAAATGTGATCTCGCGTTCGAAGCTTGCAATAAAAATCTCTTGGGAACAGAAGTAGGTGCGTTGCGGGGGAGTCGGACTATAATAATACTATACTTGTATAAAAGGAGAGGCAATTAACCGATGTTATCGATGTTTACGATACATCGTTGGGGTAATAATACAAAAAAAATAATAACAATAAAAAGATAGGGGGGGGGGAAGAAAGGGTGAGCTTCAACCGTATGAGTGCAAGAAGTGTCATATTTGTAAGCTGTTTGTTTTGTTTATCCAGTCTAAAATGATCACCTCTTAACACGTACGGCCTGCCATCATTAATTTAATATCTCTCAAAGTTTTCCAAGTGAATCTAATTTATACTCGAATTAAAAATACAACGATGCATTGATTTATTGTTACATTTGTTTGAAATAACGGAAGTACCCAATGAATAACGAAAGAGCTATCTATGAGTAATACCTACTTATACCCGAGTGAAAAAGTCTTATGGGAATGAAATCAGGGGTCAGTAAGTGTATACCCGACTTGCATTTTTTGCAGGTATTTTTTTGTTGTTTTTTTCGAGTGAGCTCTTTGCAACTAAAAAAGTGGCGGCCCTTTATTATATATATGTATATAATATAACACATGGTGGCGGTGTAGCNATGGAAGGTTAATGTTAGGTAACTACCTAGCCTACCAAGTCACGTAGATATATATATATATATATACATGTATTGTTATACTTATTTGATGCTACAGTGAATAACCGAGGATATACTTACTTAATTTTGTTGATGTAGGTGGAATTGCAGCACTGACACAGTTGCGTTTGTTTTATGTATTTTTACTACTCAATTATATAGGCAGGTATACGTATAGCTCCGTACTACGATGTAAGGGCGATTCTTTGTCCGTGGATGTGACTAATCTCAAGTGCAAGACACAATTAAGTTTTACTCTTTCAATCAATAGCTTTAACTTTATTGCACACAATTAATACCTTTGGTATAGGTTCATGTAGTGCGTGAGTCTATCCTATTCTCATGAAATCCATTGCGCAAGAGATTTTGCTTGCATTGTTTATTTATAATAATAATTTTTTTTTTTTTTAATGCTTTGCTTTGTTACCTATGTACAGGTAAAACGTATGGTATCTTTGCTGTAGTGTATTTCTTGCACAGAAGCTTGGGGAAAAAAAAAAAAAAAAAATAATAATAATAATAATAATAATAATAATAGTGATGATGCATGTTTCGTTATCGTCAGAAATCGTGCAGTCTTTATAATAAAATGCGATGAACACTTTTAGTTGTATAAAAAAAACGATTTAATAAAAAATGAATGTAATTCGAGAAAAGGAGAGCGATAACTTATCGATAAAAATGTTCAAACTGTACATAAATAATATACAGATATGCATGTAGTTTCTTCTCCATAGGCCATCATTAAAAATGAATAACCCCATAATTGAAGGTGAGTTCCATGCACCAGGACAAAACCAGGTGGTGTATGATGAATAGAAAATAAAAAAATTCCGTGCAAGACCTTTTGCTTATAAATTCTTTGAAACGGCGTTTTGCATTGAAAAATATGGCCAGTAACCCGTATTTTATTCACCACTCTAAAATCACGTCTCATCGTATATCCCGCTTATATGTGTGTACGGGTAATACTTATACCTGCATATAGATACGATACGATTTTCGAATAAATAATTGTACACAGCATCTCGGCATGTATAAGTGTGCACAGAGTCGTGTAATCCGCGCCCTGGTGCGAGCTGGCTCTCCTCATCATCATCATCATGTGGGGCGGGTGGACAAACAGCTGATGCCACTTTTCCGAAAGCCGGCAAACAAGTTCGCAATAACCCTTGAATATACCTGCATCTACTTACTGTATATATTATTCTTGGGCGCTTGATGTAGCGATTTATATCACATACTCCTCGCTCTCGCTGCTCTCGAGATTTAGATTCTCGTAATTTGCTCGTCAGTAACGCAATAGGTACTGTTAATCTCGACGCTTGTAAATATGTACCTATATGTCCAACTTATTTTGCCGTGCTCGTCGTCTACTGTTGTTATTTATACATATATGGTACATGGTATATGGATATTTACACAATAATAATGCAATTACAGCAGACGACAACTTGGACAAGAGGTTTACGGAGTCGCAGACGTTGCCGGTGTCGTTGCAGACCTTGAACTCGCGCACCGACCTTGCCAACAGGTGTTGCACCCTCAGCCGGGACCAATTGCGAGCCTGCGAGCGCCTCGTGCACGACCAACACCTACAGCAACAGGGCTGGGCCGCCGTGCTCGCCAACTTTGACGACGTCTCCAAATACTTTGAGGACAAGGTCTCGCACTTCCAGCAGTACTTTGGTACTTATCTCGAGGAGCGCCAGGAGTACATCGAAATCGTCAAAAAGTGCGTTAGTGGCGCTGTTGTTGTCTCGGGGCAACCATCCCAACTGTTTCGGTCTTTCTTCTTTTCAGTGTTAGCGTGGATCTGCAGACCCTCTCCGAGATCCCGGTCCTTCCGGCACTGCGAGCCTACGCCGAGGGTTTCCAAAGCCCGGAGGAATACCAACAAAAGCTGGCCGAGTCGGCGGGCTCCTCGTCCCTCTCAACACTTCGACAGGGGGACGACTCGGCCATTAGTCTCTTCTCCTGGATCACGTCCAAAGGCAAAGTCAGTCTCGACCAGACGGTCGAGGAGTGCGCCCGTATTCTCAATCAGCTTGATGAGGCCACCTACCAGCAATCGAAGAACGAGGTAAGCTAAGCGTTATCGCTAGTGGGAAATGTTTTTCTTTCTTTATTTCTTAATTCTGAAAAGTCAGTGTAATGAACTATAAAAGTAATTTATAATAATGGCGATTTTTTTTTTTTTTTTTTTAGGCATTGGCACTGATTGTGCAAACCAAAAGGCAAGACAAAAAAGAAATTCAGGGGCTGAGCGAGCGGCTCTTTCAACTTGAACAGGTCGTGGAGCAGGCCAAGAAGGCTGTTAGCGAGCAAGCCGAGCTCTCGCAGGGCTTCCAGCAGAATATGACGCGTGTCAACAACCTCAAGGACGATAGTGTCTTGCCTGACTTGTGCGCGTCTCACAAAAACCAGCTCCAAGTGATGCACAACACTTACAAGCTGATATGCGATTATCGGCGTCGCTGCACCAAGGTTGATATTCTCAGTAAAATGTGGCAGTCTATTGCAATAACCCTTTATTTCTCAATCCGGTATGATTTTTCATTTCAGGCCAAAGAGGAGCTCTCGGCGAGCATTCACAGGCATCTCAAGTGGGTCGCGGAAATCGAAAACAAGATGCAAGAGTCCATCGAGATGCTTGCACTTTTGATGGGAAGAGTCAAGAGGCTACGTCAATTTATCACGGCACTGAGACAAATCCACGCGAGCCCGGAGATGTACATGAACGCCGTGGCGGAGGTCGTACGTCGACGTACCTTCTCAGAAGCCTTCCTCGCCTGGGCAGGCAATCTCGCCTTTCAGATCATGAACATTCATAGCGAGGAAATTCAGAGACGCCGAGAGTTTCAAAACAAATTTGCCGGACACTTTTTGGTTACTCTCTTCCCCGGACTGGACGATGTACCACCACCCTTTGCTACCGAAGCTCCAGCCTCGTTTGATACTGGACTACCAAAGGTACCACCAACGCACATATATATATATATATATATANTTTATGGCGCATCGCGCCTCGCAATATACTTATGGGTGCTCGTGGGTGGTCGGTCGGCTACGCGGTACCTATATGCACGAACCCACGGAGGCTTCCTGGAATTCCCATGGCCAGACATTACTATTTTTTTTTTTTTTTTTTTTTTTTTTTTTTTTTTTTTTTTTTTTTTTTTTTCTTTTTTAGCTGACGGTCAAAGATGTGGAGCAAATGAAACAGCAGCTACCAAACTTGGCTTCAATCGTTTTGATGCCCGACCTGAATGGTATAACGCAATTTTTCTCATCCAAAAGCTTAAGTGGGAGTGGAGTCAGCGAGGTTATTAAAGAAAAAGAAAGCATCTCGATGGTCGTAGACGAGTCATTAAAGGAACAGGAAGTTGCCAGGCCTCTAATGTTGACTGACAAGTATGATTTTTTTTTTAAACGCCAATTTTCAAAATAGTAATTACCTAAGCGGATGAGATGATATGATTTTTGTTTGTATTTTTGTTTCAGGGGTGACTTTGAATCGGAAACTGATACGGAAGAGTTCGAAAAAATCAGTCAAGCAGCTATGGACTCGAAGCAAACGTCCTACGACAGCACCAAGCAGCAGCAACAACAGCATCAGCAACTCCACCACCAAGAGAATCAACAGAAGCAATTGGAGGTTGGTGCCTCACAATCAACCACCTCGACCTCAACTAACTTCTCGCTCCTGAATAGCTCGTCTTCTTTACCTTTGAACGAGCTTTCCCAGTTTCCCTCATTTTCCACCATAGAAAAGACACAATTGCAGCACCCTCAGTTTCTCAGTCCCTTGACCGAATGTGACGAATACGCTCCTAGCACGACACCACCCGGGTCCTTATCCCCAAACTATCCTCCGAGCAGTGCCGCGAATTCGTGCGATGGCAGCCACCCGAAGAAACAGATAAGAGACTCGGGCAGTGACAGGAGCAGCCCGTCTCTTGGAAACGTAGCAGTAGTGACCGACTTTTTCGGTACCGAATTTTACATGGATGAATCACTTCCTAGCAGCCTCAGTGAACACTCCACCGACAGCCAGCATCATGCCTTTGTGTCACTTCTTCAGGTATTGGACATCATCTCATCATCATCTGCTCAACTTACATGTGACTATATTATACACAGTAGCTCTACGATAGATTAAAATTTTTTTTTTTCATGTCAACAAAGAACTTTCTATATTGAATCCATGTACGATTTCCTAAATTCAAAGTCTGTTGTGATAAGCAAGTTCTCGGTAGCTACTCTATTTCTGGAATTGTACTCATTTTCGTTTTAAGTTTACTTGCACTTGCAAAAATAGGTAAGTTAAAATCTTACTCTTACATCGTGTTTCAAATTTCATGCCTAATTTTGTTCTCAACAACATTTGTTGCCAACAAAATTGTTTACGACAGTCTAATACGATTTAACGTTTAATCGTTTTTAATTTAAAGTTATCATTATTGAAGTATTAATACACTCACCCTAAAATATCAATATTTTATCACGCCTTTTAATTTCCAGCTTGATTATGTCATTAAATTTTTTATTTATTTAAATTACTGACAAGCTCAAACACTCCTGTTATCGTTTATTGCAATGCACAAGCAATCATGTGTTTTGTTAACATTTTCTCTGCTAAAGCATGGCTTACAATAATCTAATGAATTATCATCACAAATAATTATGGCATTTCGGTATAAAAATATTTATGGTTTTGGAATTTGTTTGACTCCTTTTATTTTTCAGGATAGCTGCCGTCGCACTTTTTTCCACTGTCTTTTTCCCATACCTTCGCCATTAAATTCCTATACGATATTGTTTCTAGACAAAAGTAAACATTTTTTTCCTTTTTACCCACAACAATACAACAATACATACTTACTACAAGTATTTAGTTATAATGCGTGCTGTATCATTTAAAATTTAAATTACAGGAATGGTAAATTATTTATTTATAAAAAATAATTATTGCTCTTGTACTTGGCGATTATCACGAATAATTTTATAAGTTTGCTCAAAACTCAAATAACACAAGATAATCCAAAAAATTTGACTTATGGTATTAAAGTACTGACTTATTTTTATCCCCAGTACAAAGAAAATTTAAAATATAAAAAAATTATGTTGAATACTAAATTAATAACCCAGTTTATATTGTAAAGATGATAAAAAAAACTATTGCTTTTGATTGAAGTAATGATGAAAGTAACGTTGAAATATCATGTAATTACAGGAAGGTTTAAACAGCTCGCGCGAAGAAGTGGAGCGTCTGCGTTCAATAATCCGAGCCTTTGGCAGCATAACGAGTGAATCCGTGCAGGCGCTACGCCACGAGTTGAACAAAATAAGGGAGCAGACACTAAACGAGCGTGCCGCTACGTCTAACATTACCAAGCAGCTGGACATGATGATGAAGTTACAGAGCCTGGCGGTGTGCGAGCACGAGCAGGACCTGACCGTTGATCACGAGCTCGAGCTTGGTGGCCTTAAGAGTATGCTGCTCAAAAGAGACAAGCACATCGAGGATGTGGAAAACTCGCTCCGTGAGAAGGAAAGCGAGGCCAGAGAGCAGGAGAGGCTTGTCGTCACCATGCGCCAAAATTACGAGTCCTCGCAAAGCGAGTTGAAAAAATATCAGGACATTTACAAGTAAGTGTCATCTCTTGACAGTTTTGACTTGATGTTCAGAGAAATAAAATTTTGAGATTAACTTATAATAACCCCAAGTAGAGAGAGGCTGGAGCAGCAATCTCAGATCGAAAAAGCCAAGGTCGAGTCGAGCATAGCGGAGAAAAATGCTCTGAAAAATACAATCAAACAGTACGAGGATAAAATAAAAGGATTAGAAACCCAACTGGCAGCTGCTCAGTTGACGTACGAAAAAAATCTTAAAGAGAAGTGCGACAAGTTGCACGTGGAGCACAGGACCGAGATCGAAACGATCAGAAGTAGGTTCAAGTTGATGGCCGCTTCGACGATGGAGCGTAGCCCCAGCGACTCTAGTCTTGAGAAGATTGAGGTTTGTGTGTATTTAATATATTTAAAATACAAATTTTCACTTTGCCAAAGTCGCTAATTATAAGGGAGTAACTTCATGGGTATGTGAATGGAACGTGTTACAGCGACCGGACGTAATAGAAATCATAAATCACGAAACAATATTGGAGCAGGCTAAAAAAGATTGGCAAATGGAAAAGGAAAAGGCAGTTTGTAAAATTACCCAGGATTTACAAGCAGCAAAGGAAATTATTAAAAAAAATGAGCAGTACATAGGTGTCCTTAAATTAGAAAAAATAGCCATAATCAAAGACTATCAACATTTACAGTCAAAAGCAGAATGTTTCAAAAATTCGGAAGCTTTGATTAACAGCCTGAGCATGGAAAATGCCAAATTAAAAAGTGACTTGACCACTAGTTGTAAACTAGTGTCTTATCGAGAAACTTTGGTAAGTTATAGCAACCCTAACAACTAAATTCCAAATTAATGTTGTTGTTGTTGTTGTTTATTTTGCAGAAAGAAAGGGGCAGCCTGATGCGGCAGTTGAGCGATGATCAAATGAAGATGAGTCAGGAAAATCTTGAAGTTGATGAGATGAAGGATGCTTTCCAAGTATCGGAGACAAAAAAAGTTAAACTAGAAAAGGAGTTGAGTGCATCAGTATTGGTAGTTTCCGATTCTTCGTCAGGTCGTGTAGACGTAGCTACGTGTACCGATGAGGTGTCCACTTCAAAACACTCGTCACGAGAAAAGAAGAGCACCCCAAGAGGTAGAGCTACTCTGGCGACCTGCAATCGTGGTGATATTGTTGCTATGGTTTGGGATCCATTGCATGAAAATTACATCATTCTACAAGATTCCGAGACAAAATACTTTTTGAATTCTGATTCCTTGGCTGCTCTGGGCTTAAAGGTGGGAAGAACTGACTCTGTTACTTGGGCTTTTGGTGAAGTCGTCGAAAAAGAATTTTGCAAGGCTAAAAAGGTGACGTTTCCATTTGTTACCAATATTATATTTTTAAGATGGTAAATTTGGAAAAGTTTCTTCTATGACCAAAAAATTACTCAGTGCAGGCCGAAAATCGTTACAAAGTTTCAATGGAGGAGAAGTTTTATCGAGTTCGAGTCAAGCCTTACAAGAAAAAGGATAAAGATAAGGGGGGTATGAAAGAGGAAGATAAACCATCCAGCAGTAGTAAAAGCACCGATCACCGGGAAGGGTAATTATTTACAAAAAAATTTTGTCAAAAAAATTATTACTGTACAATGGAAAAAATTTCCATGAAAGGCCGAAACCTGCCAGAGCCTGTAAGCGCATTCCTATCGGAAATTATTTGATTAAAATATTTGTAGGGAAAATTAAGTGTACGTAATGATCAACAGAACTCAGTGTAGGATGCGCTGGCACTTTATTGTGATATGCATAATTAAAATAGAAAAAAAAAAACAAACCAAGAAAAAAAATTTTAACATATGTGTAAGTAAAAGATCTTTGTCGAATGTTGTGAATAGTTGTAAGTGTGATACTCGAGTATGCAGTTGTTGTGTTTATTCTTTACATTTCATTTATATTTACATTACTATGAAGAATATAAAAAAAAGAAAATAGTTTTCAATAAGCCCTAGTGACGCTGCAAAAACACTTTGCTAATATACCCTTGAGTTATTAACGAATCGTTGAAGTGTGTCTTTATTTTTCTTATAGAAGTGTAATAATAAAACAAAACACAAAAAAACAAATGAAGTATAGAAATCATAAATAAAATTATTATTTGTGCAAGTAAATGATTTTCGATATACTTTTACGAAAAAATATTTAAGCAGGTTATCTTTGCACCTCGTTGAGAATGAATTTTTCAAGGCTTTTACAGCCGCCAACGTGAAATAGCGCTATTTCACTCTACTCATACTTTTATATATTGACAATTGCTTACCGCGTAGGTATGCTGCACACAATAATATATACTCGTATGAATCACGCTATATTGAATCAATTTGAAAAATCTCACTCGAGAATGCAACGATTTTTATACGTGTGTAAAAACATAATCAAAGAATAATTTTGCCGAAATGAAAAAATGTTAAGTATTTTAAAATATATGAATTAAGTTAAACCATCCAATCACGTAGGTATATTATATACTTTTCGTCTTTTTTCTGTATTTACACAGTTTTTCGACCGAGTTACGTTAATTAACTAAGACACATCAGTTTTACATGTAGTTATGCACTAAGTTTTCGATTTTATAACGATTTAGTATGAAGAATTGCACTGAGTCACTTTTATCGAAGATAAAGTTCGATTCCGCCTTTTTCAATATAAAATGATAAGGAGAAAGGTAAAAAAAGTAGTCACTAGAATTTAACCCTTTTTCACCACTTATCCACGTTATGTACAAAAAATAGTAGTAAAGAAAAAAAAAAAAAAAAAAAAAAAAAAAAAAAAAAAAAAAACTGGTAGAGACGAAATCAATGGGACAAGACTTGTCCCTGATTTTGATTGCTTTCCTCTTTATAAAAAAAAATTAAATATATAGAATGTGTAAGGCTCGAATTTTTATTTGTAAGACGTTAGATGCCGTTTGTTTCAAATATGCGCATAGACACTATATTATATATTATACTTAAATAATATCGTAAAATAGCTGTGATCACAGTTGGCAGTTACCACTCAACAGATCAATCCTTACTGCATAAGTTACTTTTTTTATTTTTAATAATCGAAAGCACTTTTCTTCGCACTTTTTTATATTGTAAAAAAATATTAAGCTCTATGAACAAAAAACGAAGGAAAGGTCTTTCTAGTGGATTTTCTGCAGAGTGGTTTTCTGTCTTCTTTAACCTCCTTTCAACGTTATCACATTTAAATAGTAATTAGAGATGTTAATCTCAACGGGACGGGATAAAACAAATATTTCAAGAGAGTAGTAGATTATTTCTGCCCAAGATAAAGGAACTATTAAAATTTTGTGACTTTAACATTTAAAAAGCTAATTTCTCTTGTTTTCTTTTTTTCTTCACTTTTTATAATAGTTTAAAATCCCTTGATTTTTCAACTGATTTTTAACAATATTTAATACGCTTCATATTGAGAACCCATACAATCTACGATAGGCTGTAATTTTTATGATAAACAAATGATAATAAATTGACCAGTTGTTTAAAATATTTTAAATCATGATACATTTGTACTTTTTTGACAAACTGATGTCTTTGCACGTCTGCGAATTCAGAGTGTCTTGATAATAAAATTCTGTAAAAAAAAAAAAAATAAAAAAAAAATTGTAATTCATCAAATTTTTTTTTAGAAGGATAGTAATATAATTGTAAAAGATGATAAAACTCAAACATCAAAGATACGTGCCTGTTGAATATAGTACAGTAAAAAAGATATTTGGATTAATTGTTTTATCCATAAACTTAAAACATTATACTATGATCTAAGATGAAAAAAATAAAAGGCAAATCGAGTGAATAGTTCAAAGTCGATTTTCTAATGAATGAAGTGCAGTTTTTGTGCAATAAAATGCATCACAGACAGTGGAATTTCAAGTCATAATAATAAATTTACTTATCTTTAGAAGTAAATGAAAGCAAACAGCAGTAATGGCTCTGTACAAATAAATTTTCTTTTTTTTATGGTAGTAGCACATAAACAGAAATTTGAAAACTAACATGTGCGTTTTCATGTGTGTATGTATGAAAAATACAAGTTGCAAAAGCACTTTTAAAAAATAATACTCTTAATGAGTTTTTTTTATTCGTTGAATGCAATAGATTGATGCAGCATGTAAATATGTTTGCTCAGAGTAAAAAATTATAAGTACATTTTCAAGTTTGTTTTCTTTTTCACCCAATTTTTTGAAAAATTAATCGTTTTCGTCTGAGAGATTTTTTTTTTTAAATAAACAAAATATTAATAAATTTATGCATGGTTNTTTTTTTTTTTTTTTTTTTTTTTTTTTTTTTTTTTTTTTTTTTTTTTTTTACTTTTTCCTCTCTCTCTCTCTCTCTCTCTCTCTCTGTTCCTATACCTCTGATACACCAAATTTTACATACGAGTTTATCTCTCTACATCCATGCCTTAACAACTTAATTTTTACTTGACGCTCACAAGTGCATTTTCCGAGTTTAATATACATGCATAATATGTTGCATCCATAACTTTAATCAATTTAATGAATTTTTTTTTTTCTGATTACAGTGATTGTTCATTCATGCTCAGCTGCAGGTCAAGGGATTTGATGAAAAATTGTTGAACAGCTAGCTTAATCGAGTGAGTAAACGTTTTTGATACTACTTACACGTTGTATACCTTTTATATATATATATATATACATGAAGAAGATAATGAGGATAGGAATAAAAAAATTTGCACATTTTTTTACATATGCGCGCATACGAGCGTTAACAATATATATTATTATTATTGTTGTTGTTGTTGTTGTTGTTGTTGTTGTTGTTGTTGTCATGATTATTGTCTTTGGACCGGCAAGACAAATTTCGCTTCTTTTCACGACACGGAATAATCCCGAAACCTCTTTTAATTAAGGTACATTTGTATTGAAACGTATGTATACGTGTAGTGTTGTTGCTTGTATATGTACCTGAAAAATCCTTATCTCTGTGTGCTTATCCACCTCTCTCTCCCTCGATCGCTAATTTTTTCTTTTTTTTTTTTTTACTCTCGGTACATTTTCATTTAAAAGCCGGCCATGCATATAAGTACCTACTTATCTCGGGCTCAATATCTCTCCTTCTCGGCTCTCGCGACCAGTCTCACCCAAACCATGCATGCACGTGTTGTTTACAAAAATACATAGTTATAAGCTGCATGCTCGCAATGGTGAATATAGTTACGTTTTATACATATATAGAACACGCATGGTCTTGGGTTCGGTTCGCCCATTCAATTTTTCCTTGCGCCTTTTACCTATACAATGATCTCTTGGCTCTATCGCCGTGTGAATATCTCCTCCCTCCCGCTCTTCGTCGTGATCTTTTTTTTTTTTTCCTTTCACTCTCCCTCCTACAGAGACTTACTTCTGCGCATACCCCCGTAATTGATTGCCACCTTTCTCGAGATCTCGATAAATTGATGTCCATTGCCTGCCCCGCGAATTTATGACAACACATCATTACTATTATACCGCCGCGCCTGCCTATGCGCAATCTCACTACGATGTACCCCCCCCCCCTTCCACTTACCATTATCGAATGTATACTGATGTTTTTTTTTTCTTTTTCTTTTTTTTTCTCATTCTCTTTCTCAATTCGTTCATTTGTTTGCTTTACGCAGACAGCACGCTATCTTGCTTGGCCAATATCCGAGGGCTGCGTTTTTACCGCCACGCTTACACATATTTTTATTTTTTTCATTGTTACGCGTTGAAATCAAAGCATGTCTCTTAATTTCAACCAAGTTTTTCTTGCACGGAGACACTGGTCTGGTTTTTTTCGCCATTTAAATATACACAGCTGTTACAATGCGTTATTGTTTGAAGTGTATAAAATAATCCTCCGAGTGTTAATACCGATCGATGTATAATTGACACCAATAGAATAATAAGGGACAAAAAGTCGCAATCAAATCAGACATGTATGTGTAGGTGCCTGCAAGTAAATCCCATGGAAAGTCGGTGTTATCTGCGGCGTGATCCCTTGACATATCAAATAATTATTAACAGAGATAAAGTAAATCCCCGAGTCGATCGGCAGAGCTGGGCATTTCACAGAGAGGCGGCTCGGGGAGGGGAGGGATTATATTATAAATGGAACAGAGTGGAAAAGCCCGAGGCAGGTATTATACATGAATAACGCGTGGGTTAATTTTACCGTGGACTCGGTGGACAGCCCCCTTGAGCCGAGATTGACTGACGTTGCTCCCACCCTCCCCCCGTTGCGCAGCTTCCGCGCGTACGTTTTATTAATAAGGACAAGTTTGTCGGTAGGTATATGTTTATTACAACGGTGCGTACGAGGGGCCACTCTCTCTCATCGCTCGATATCATCTCGGGCGCGAGCCAATCTGCCGATCTCCAATAATACCTTATACCTCAATTATTATCGAGGCGGACCAGAAGCACGCGCCTCCGCGAAGGTGATGGAAATCAATCCACGATATGTACCCTCTTAGTATACCTATATCGGCTGATCCAAAAGGAACACGCGTTGTACGTTTAAATTAACGTACGCCCCGATGATGATGATGATGTTACGACGCCGAAATACACCTAGCTGTACATAATAGAAGTACCTGTTCACGTCACAGTGTGTGTGTCTGCGCGCGCATCGAAGCGCAAATTGAAAAAGACGCTCATTTATCATTGTTGTTATTATTAATTTTATGCTGTCTTATGTGTATGATATATACAGGAAACGTTAATCCCATCGTAGGTACGTGATATTATCTCGCGCACGACAAATTTTACACAATTTTTATTTAAAACCCGGGGGATTGCTATACCTACATACCTAATGTAAAATTATAAGAATGCCCGCGCGTGCTTTTTATCCATAATTGTAAAGCGACAAATAATTATAGAAAAAAGTACGAAATAGAGAGAGAGAGAGTGTTAATGATTTTTTCGAGACTTTTCCGCCTCTGGATACCACATTTTTATTTTTGTTTTATTTTTTTTTCCTTTTACAATGTATAACAACAACACAAAGTCGTTATTTAGGTACAATGTACCTATATACGCCAAATTTTCGATTCCCCGCGTGGAAAAACAATAACGCCTCAACGGTATAATAATAACACCTATGCATCTATAAACATATACTCAAGCACACGGCAATTAAAAAGTCCATAGAGTCGTTTGGGTCAAATGAAATATACCCTATATATACATGCAGCCGCTCCGCAATATAATATTATAAATATGTGTGTATGCGCGTGTGTGTGGATATATAGGTATACAAGAGCCTGCCGGGTGATGTCGGGATCGCAAAAAAGCCGTGATGAACGGGCATGACTTGCTCGCGCTACAGTATATATATATATGTGTGTGTGCCGGGTCTGCAATCCTTTCTCCTGCAAAGATTCGGATCGTCTCTTTTTATTCGTGCAGAGAAGGCTTTCGTCCCCTAAATCACGTCGCCGCGACTCGCGCGATTAATAAAGATGGCGGATCTCCCGCGAGTACACCTCTACGTGTATAGATAAACGTAAAATTGTACGTCTGTATGTATATGCGCGTAGGTGGGAGGGGAGGGGGTGGAAATGAGTACTAGAGTAGAGGGCGTATGTATTAGAAGCTGCATGTGTAGGTATGGAAACGGCGGTGGTGGAGGCAGCCCGACCCAATCGCGGTAAGAAACAGTGCGAGCCAATCGCCGTAGAGTCCCGAATACGCCTACGTACCAATGGCCGAGGCCGAACCTCGCTCGCCGCCCATCATGTGGACTGATTAGGTGCGTTGCCCCGCGCTTTTCGTATTGAGTAAAGGTAGGTACTTACCTATTACATATACATACATATATATATATAGCTACGTACTCTCCGATACGTCAAATACCGTCGATTATTTCCATTCCTTCAAATACACGTTATCATTGTGGACGCTTGTTTGTTTATTATTATTCTTCATTCCGTGAATTGTACAGGAATCGATCGCGAGAAATTCATAGAAAAGACATTTTTTTTCCAACCTCGGGCGTTTTTGAGGGTCGGGTGTGCCCTCGGTAGAAAAAAAAATAGGAGTGCCATCGCTCCGCGGCTACCTAACGTCACTCGGACCGCAAAATAAGTAGCTCCGGAGACGACGGCACTTATCCGACGAAAACTACTATTTTTACAAGTGTTTGCTTTTTTAAAAAGACATCAAATTAAAAAGTAATACGATGGGTAGGTATCATCATTATTATATATCCAGGTATGTGAGTGAATTAATAAAAAAATCTTTCGAATTTATCCCCCGTTGAAAAAGAAAAAAAAAATTTTTGCACACCCCCGACATGGGGCTTATTTTTCTTGCAATGCCGTGTACTTACTACGTGGGAAAAATCATGAACACGGGCGTCAATGGAAGTGACAAAATTTTTTTCGATTATTAATGCAATTATTATTCATATCTGCATATAAGTATTTATCATACATGTAGGTATAAGAACATAATTTTAACATGTATAAATCACAGAAAAGGGTATATTTCAACATTCGTTTATGGCTCTTCCCATGAACGTAGTACATGGCGTTGCGAACAAAATAAAGACTCTCAAAAAACAAATTTTTTTTATTTTACTTAGAGACAAATTAGGGATATTTTTCGTGTATTGATTCATATTGTAAATGGGAAAAAAAAAAAAAAAATTAAACGCATACACATGGAGATCGTAATTTATATAGTTGAGCTTATTTAAATATGTATAATAAAGTATGAGTAAAAAAGAGATGTTTCGAGGGGCAAGATGACGACGAGTGAAAAAAATATGCGGTGCTGCATTATCGTATGAAAATCGTCGTACCTAGTTGTTCTCGTATGCAGCGTGCTCCGAAATAACGGTAAGTTAAATAGCAAAATATATATAATTAATATATAATTAAAACGATGAAAAGAAGGAATACTCACAGCACAACCATAGTCGAATATCCTTGGTGCAGGCGAGTCTCCAATCCTTTTATTGGGGCAGCAGTATCAACAACAAGTCCCCGTAGAAGCTTCACTCGCGCGTAAAGACCAAAAAAAAAGAAGCCACGGACCGCCGCGCCGGCCCGCTCATGAGTGAAGCGCGCACCCCCCGCCGAACGATCGGTTTCCCGCGAGTATAACGATTGCCGTCCAAAAATCTGCAGAGACTCGGACGATACCTACGCTGTCATGTGCGTGCAACACGGCGTCGCGCCTCGAACTGTCGTTGAGGTGTACGGTGTACACCGTAGCCGAGGAGTCGCTACACGGAGTATAGGTATCGTGCGAGAGCTCTCTCTCTCTCTCTCTCTCTCTCTCTCGTAGCGAGCGAGGGAACTCCGCCCTTTGGGAGTGGCGAGGCTCGACCAATCCCGAAAGTAAGTACATGGCAGTCGTGCGCGACTCCCGAGGGTTGCTTTCCCTCCATCGTACCCCGCCGCATCTCTATCCCCGGGTACAGCCACCGCCGCCGCTGCACAGAGGGGGTATGTACACACGTATGATTGGATGCCGGGCTGTTTGATCACTATGGGCACTATGGTGTGCGTACCTGTCACACTCACACAACGCTACTCGCACCAGCAAAGACTCGACTTCGATTTTCCTCAATCATTTTTATTATCATCATGCCATTTACCGACTTAATTATACAATTTCGGTATTCTCTTTTCCAAATAACGAAACAGTCGCACACCAGAACTCGAGATTGTTCTTATTGTTTGTCAATGTGGCTGCTGTGTTCCCTACAAAAACCATGTCAATTATCATTATCTGGCATATTTAATCAAACGTTTAATTTTTTCAACGAATAACACCTAAAATCCATTTACAAAGCGATCACATTAATAGCAACTGCATAATGTTATAATATTATATACATTCAACGTGTATGTATATCTATATGAATATACCTACGGTCATAGCATATTATGAATAATTATTTTCAATGTACGTTTATGCCGGGCGTGGCACTCTTGCCCAATATTATATACACACGCATTACATTATGATTATAGCCACAACTTTGTCACAAAGTCGGCATCATCCCCTGTACCTATAATTATAATCCCGAAGCGCGACTGTCAAAACGTAAACACAATTTTTATAATGTATACATGTTACATTGGAAAATGCGATCTGCAAATCTAGGACACGGACTCTCGATTATGCGCGTATCTATGTACTCAAAGAGAGAAAGAGAGCAAATTTCGTGCCTTATACATAATATAAATACATATGTGTTCTCTTTCTCGCTTCCATACATACCCATAGGTATAGGTATTGCACACGTATGTACGTGCATCTATATCCTTCGGCTCTCGTTCCGGTCCCCCCTTTCCCTCCTCCACAACCAAAAGCAGCAGCACCCCGAGCCGAGCTACCCGCATATTATATATCCAAGACAAGGGGCCGTTACACTTGGACAGAACGCGTCGTGCGTGCTGCTAGAGTACAATATTTATAAGTAGGTACCTAGTATGAGGATGCATAGGTATTTAAATGTGTATATATATATATATACAACACAATAGTAATAATAATAATAATAATAATAATAATAATGTTAGCGATCAACGTACCCTTGTCGGCTATCAGGGGTGGAATTGTCGTTGACAGGAGCTCCGAAGTCGGTCTTTTCGTACCTCTGAGGCTCATAAGCTGTGGACGAGGAAAAATGTTTTAAATATACCAGAAGGAAAAACAAGAGAATTATTTACGGAAATTATTGTCTCTGACCTTTGTGGTGAGGGCACCCTCGCGAGCCAAAAGAACGGCGAGGCCGCGTACGCGCTTACCGGCCCCTACGCTCCGACGCGCCTCCGAGGTTGATTTGGCCTCGGGCCTCGGGTGATCGTGGGTGCCTTTAGCTTGGAAGAATATCGCGTGCTCGGTGTGCCGCCAAAAATGGGTCACGGGGTAGCCGCAGTGGCCTCGACAGGCGTGAATCTGCAGCCGACCGGAACACTGGCGATTCGGGCAAGGTTTACCCTGTTGTTTTTTTCGCGCTTTGTCGCAGATTGCGGGCCGCAGGTGGACCTGGCCTCCGCTCGGCAGAACGCACTTGAGCGAACACTCGAGCACCCCTAGACACGATTTCTTCAGTATGCTCACGTTGTGGTTGTTTGTATTGCGCATCGCCCAGCCTGAGGCGTGTCTGCGGGCCTCCTCGCAATCTGCCCCGTAGACCTTGCGCACGTGTCCATCCGCCCACTCAGACCAGCCATCCAACTCGACGACCTGATGCAATTTTTTTTTTTTTTTCACGCAATGTTCGGTATTAATTTAAATATTTGGTAATCGTGTTTTTTTTTTCTCTTTTTATATTTCATGCTTAAATGTATATGCGCGCGCGCAATACACATTATTATACTTACCTTTGGCACGTTAGAGTCGTTTATGTCCCACTCTTGATGGGGATACTGCTGTTGCTGGTTTCCGGCAACAGTCGCTGACATCGTCGGCGACCCAACTCGGCTCCTGAAAAACATGGACAGTCTTTACGTAGGGGTGTGCTGAAGGTGCCAAAACAATAAAATAAGAGTATAATTTATTGAATGTAACCAGTGAGAGTAAGGGGTAATACGTAATTATAGGCTCGGGAACACACATATTCCGGAATGTAAATGTTACAAGTACGAGCACCTATGCAGGGTGAGCGGGTCCGAGAAGGAGAGAAAGATCGCTTTGTCGATTTTTCAAAGCCGCGAACGTCGACGCTAATTGGCGCGAGCACGAGGGGCATTAATATTATTTCCGCTCAAAGTAAGAGAGAGAGAGAGAGAGAGAACAAAAAATAAATAATAAGAAGATGAAAATAGCGATGGGAGCCTCGTGTCTCTCCGATCTTTCGATCTTTCTCGAGATTTGTACACGTTGTATCATCTGTACGAGGTTAAATAAAAAAAAAATAAAGACTGAAATTTTACGATCCATATATTTATATTCTTGAAACATTAATTAAAAACAATTATTGGCTTATCACTTTTGTTCATAGGTATATGCAAAGAAAACAAAACCGGAGATCCTTATTTTGACTGTAAAACTATGGTAAAGTCGGGAGAGCGATACCTACTTTGTCATTAAAGAGCAAAGGCAGTCCAGTCGAGGGCCATTTGTCCGAGGGCGCATAGTGTGTGCATTGCTATACTTATATATACTATACCACCGCTACAATAAAACACACAACGTGCGAGTGCTCTTGTAAGTATATAATATTAGGTGCAAGAGCACTCGCACGTTGTGTGTGTGTACGCCGCGAGGCTCCGCGCCGTTGAACGTAAAATTATTATTCAAAATTTAATTGACAAGAGGTGGGCGACGAAAATCACGCGAGTTTACACGCGAGAGTCCAGCCCCTGTAGGAAACAACTCATATCCTCCCGTCTCTTTTTTCCTCCCTTCGATGATTGATAAGTCCGTTTTATCCCAAACGTTAACAGCCGCATTTGTTTTCTCGCTGCACGCGCGGCTTTCTCGTTTACTTATTTTTCTTTTGAAGCAACTCTGCTTGCAATTTTTCTCACCTCCTGCCGGCCTCGTGCATACATCATATACGTATATAATATATGTGCACGAGTTACGTGCGTGTGCAAACATCGACCTATTTGATATAATACTATTATTAATACATATATAATAATTAATAGAGCCACTGTGTAACGTTTGCTATTAAATAAAAAACATATAACGGGTATGAAAACTGTTTCAAAGCGAAATTTTTCAAATTCCAGTGAAAAATGTTCATTTCAGATTAAAATTTATAGTGCAGTTAATACACAGGTAGATGGGTATCGTGTACCTATACCTAACTTTGATGTAGCAATGACTTTCGGAGGCTAGTTCTTTACTCTTGAATACAAAAAATTTGGATCCAACCCCTCTCAAAATGAATGCTAATGAAAGACCCTTGTTCCTCATGTTATTTTCATCAGCAGAGCTCAACAAATGGCCTACATAATAAATGCATATCTGCGCTAATCATGACGAAACGAATGAATGGATGTAAGTTGCCATAAAATTTTTAATTATCTCCCGAACAAATCTGAACCGCACGCTCCCCCGCTATATTCATATATGTAATGGTTGTAATCAGTACGTGTAGGTATTGGGTGATTGTTGTACCATCGGCAATCGAACGGGACCCCTTGCACGCTGTTGACACTCCTCTCATTGGGGTCTGTTTTTCTCCTCCTCTTCCTTCTCCACAAACAAGCTAAAGGGGAAGAGTCGCGCGAAAGAGCCGTACCAGCGATCGAGATAAAATCCCAATTTATGGCGCATCGCGCCTCGCAATATACTTATGGGTGCTCGTGGGTGGTCGGTCGGCTACGCGGTACCTATATGCACGAACCCACGGAGGCTTCCTGGAATTCCCATGGCCAGACATTACTATTTTTTTTTTTTTTTTTTTTTTTTTCCTTGCCGATTCCGAGTGACGACGACTGCATCTCGTTATTATTTGTTTCTCGTCCACACTCAAAACTGAATCACGACTATTAAAATTTGTTCCGAGTAAATTAATTGTTCGACAAGCCTGGTGTACCTATACATATATCGTTATATACATTACAATATGTAAACGCATATACACTGAAGTGGGGGGAAACAACTAGACGCGATAGCCTCTCCCCGGGTATGCATGCACCCATAGTCGGACTCATACGATCCGAGGACGAGATTGCGAGCCTCGTGCGAACAAGTTAATTCCTCTATATACACGAAGTAGAGGAGGAGAGTACGCATATACACGTACCTATAGGCCTCTCGGCTTACAGCACGAGATAGACAAGCCGATTATGTGGACCAAGAAGAAGAGGCATGAGGTGCGAGCAAAAGCAAGGAATGTCTGTTCGTGAGTTAGGTACATGTGACCTTTAGGTAGGTAGAGATATTTGCGCAAAGTCGTCATCGTTTGTTTCGTGATTTATCGGCCCTGCCATCGGCCCATTCATTACTAAGTTATACGACGACCTTATGATTTTGCTCACGCACTCCAAGCGTACCTATGTAAATATAGGTAGGTATATATATATATATATATATATATATATAGACATATATATATATATATATATATACATGTATACAGAGAGGGAGAGCAATCAATACATCCTATTTTATATGCCTTCTAAATCATCAGACCGCTATTAAAGTAAGCACATTAGTTACCCAAAGGTGCAATCTAAGCGAATTCTGCCCAAGTCTAAAACTCGTTAGCATGTTTTAGCAAGCCCCCGAGCTATA